AGCGGCAGAGGCTTCTGCTCACCGAGTAAGCCCAGCAGGGGCTTATGATCAGTCTGAACTCTGAACGATCTACCAGCCAGAAAATAGTGGAACTTCTTGACGCCTGCCACCAGGGATAGTGCCTCCCGATCAGTTTGCGAATATCTACGCTCAGTGTCGTTTAGGGTACGAGAATAGAAGGCCACCGGCCTCTCGCCGCCTGGCGTCAAAATACTAAGCACGCACCCGAGACCAATAGGGCTCGCATCAGCGGACAAAATCACATCATATTTCGGATCGAAATGGGCTAACACAGGCGGGCTTAGCAGCAGCTTTTTGCCAGCCTCGAACGCGGAGCGCTCAGTGTCACCCCAGCGCCACGGCTGGTTCTGGCGAAGCAGGATATACAATGGCGCTAAGACTGTAGAGAGACCCTTCAGGAACTTTCCGTAATAATTAATACCACCCAGCCAGGACCTCAGCTGACCCACTGACGCTGGCTCGGGTGCCCGGAGAATGGCACGGACTTTCTCCTCGGTGGCTTCCACACCCCTGGCGCTCACCCTGTGACCAAGGTACGTTACCTCGGCCAGCCCAAACTGGCACTTCTCACGGTTGACTCGCAGGCCGGAGTCCTGCAGGCGGCCGAGGACGGCCCTCAGCGCGGCGTTGTGAGAGGTAATGTCTGCCCCAGACACAACCACGTCATCCAGAAAAACCCCGATACCGGGAATGCCCGCTAGGAGCGTTTCGAGGGTTTTCTGGAACAACGCCGGCGCTGAACTGTACCCAAAACTGAGACGAGTCGGTCTCAACAGCCCACGGTGGGTATTCACTGTGAGATACTGTCTGGAGCTCTCATCTAATGGCAGCTGGTTATAAGCACACTTTAAATCTATCTTACTGAACACGGTCGCTCCCGCCAGCTTGGGTAGAAGCTCTTCCACCCGCGGCAACGGATACTGATACGGCGTGGCCACTTTATTAGCTGTCAAACGATAGTCTCCACAGATACGCAGTGAACCGTTTGCTTTCGGTGCGATCACTAGTGGTGCGGCCCATCTACTGTTAGAGACCGGCTCCCAGAGACCCTGGCTGATTTGTTTGTCAAGCTCAGAATCAACCTGCGCTCTATATGCCAGAGGAACGGTTCTGGCTTTAAAGAACCGGGGCTGAACGTTACCATCCACACCAATATGAACAGGGTCACCGCGGTAGCAGCCCAGGCCGTCCCGGAATACTTCCGGAAACTCCGCCAGAATAGGCTCGACCTGGGGATGAGCTGTCAACCGACCTATGGCTGGCCAATCCAGCTTAATGGCCTCTAACCAGTTACGACCGAACAGGCAGGGTCCCTCCCCTTTCACAATCACCAATGGCAACCGGACCACCTGCTGCCCATACTGAACCCGCACAGTCGCCTCCCCACACACAGGTAACACTTCCCCGCTGTATGTCCTGAGACGGTACGAACAGCTGCCCAGGACGGGCGGGTTATCAGGCCAAATCTGTCTGAAAACACTCTCACCACATACAGACAGCGCAGCGCCAGTGTCCAGCTCCATGGAGACGGGCCGATCATCCAGCATCACGTTCAGCTTGATCGGGGCGCGCCGGTCGCCCGAACACCGGAACAGCGAGTACAGCTCCTCTTCCTCCACCGCCGCGCTCACCGACCCGCTGGCAGAGGCCGCTGCCCCTTCCGGACGTCCCGAAGCACTGGCCGACGATGGCACTATCGCCGGCTGAGAGCCGTCAGCCCCCACATCAACCGCGTCACACTGCACTTGGTCAATGCCCGCACGTCGAGTGGCCGCACACGCGGCTCGGGTATGTCCAAGCTTTCCACACGAGAAACACACTCGCCTGCGGAACGGACACTTCTCCGATGAGTGACCCCGCCCCAGACAGCGAGGGCAGCGAGGGCAGGGACCGGCCCGACCACCCCGGGCAGGCGCATGAAGCCGGCCGACCGCCGCTGGCCGCTCCCCACCGGACACGTGGTGCACAGCTGACTCGCCAGACGGGCCCGTCTGACTCTGGGCGATCTCGCCGGCCTGGCGGGCGGCTGCCTCATGCGCTGTCGCAATCGCTGTAGCCGATTGTAGAGTGAGGTTCTTCTCGCTGAGCAGCCGGGACTGCAGACGCTCATTCCGGATACCGCTGACGAAACGATCGCGCAGCATCTCCTCCAGTATCCCGGCACAGCAGGTGAACTGGCACGGCCGAGCCAGGTGACGCAGCCGGGACAGGAAGGCCGACACCGTCTCGGTATCCTCCCGGCTGCAGGTGTGAAATCGGTGCCGTGACAGGATCACCGATTCATCCGGCTCGAAGTGAGACGTGAGCACCTCGATGATTCTGGCACAGGTCACCTCAGCTACCCCCGCCGGGGCAAGCAGGTCCTCCAGGAGCGAGAATGTGTCCGGCTCCAGAGCAGTCAGGAGCACAGCACGCCGCTTAGCGTCCACTGAAACCGCGGCCTTCTTGTCGTCGGGAATAAGCAAATCGTTCACGACAAAGAACTGTTCTAGCCTCCTGGCATAGACACCAAAGCTCTCCTCGTTCCGCTTAAACACGGGCGGCACCCCAAGCCACGCCATGGCTGGTTCCGCACTCGTCGCCAATGAAACACAACGAGGTCTCGGTCTAGACTGACTGTATTCAGACGGAACGGGTCCCTCGCCGGTGCCCAGTCACGTGACCGTCCCGGCCTCAGGCACGGTCAGCTGGCGCCGGTGGCCCGGCGGCCGGCACGCGACAACCCACAACGCCACACTTTTGATGCCTAATAGCGTATGGACTAAACATGTAGAAAGGTATATCAGCGCACTGGATGATGTGGATCAAAAATGCCAGGTTGGCACTGCAACATGTACCGAAAGAAAACTAAAGGGTCGCATAGCTTCATATATAAATAGATGGGCGTAATGAGGTAGATACCTTTTAGCAAAACGCTTAAAGCCTTGCACGTGACAATATCTGAGCAACTGAATAAGACAGGACAGATGGTGTACCTAAACGTAAATATATACAGCGACCAATCTCAGCAATGCAAACGTATGAAGGAGACTAGCGTATGTAGAAGACACGACGTTTTATCTGATATTGGTTACCAACTCGCTTGGGGCTATGGCCTTTGAGGACATAAAAAGGGCGGAAATGTCGTGCCGTCATTTTCGTCCGTCCCAGTTCTTTTACCCGAGGTACGAGTAACTGCAACGGATGAAAGTGAATGCTTCACTATGCATAATAAAAAAGAGAGCGATTGATGAAACGGCGGCATTGTGCAAAGACGAACCGGTTCAGTAGGACTGACGAATTCCGACGTAATCGGAAACGACATGCACAAACGGAAGTCCACCCGGATCAGTTGATATGGCACACTTTCACTCGCTAAACCAACCGGTGCAAGCCAACTCCTATAGCTTACTCTTACTAACGTGACCAGTAGTGATACGAGTTTGTGCAAAGAAAATAATACATTTAGTGGTTTTGATCGGCTTATTTATATTACTTCAGGGCCAGAAGCAGAGAAGACACTGCTAGTCGAAGCCTTATTTACCCACCCTCAGTTATGTAAGTGCATATACACTGTGGTCGAGCCATTTTGCTAAATCGACCACCCACCGGCCATAGCGTGCCGAAGGGGCTGAGCCCGACGAGCGCTACGCTGACAGTAGGACTGGAGAGGCCATTTAGCCGCTCAAACGTCACCCGGAAGGCGTGTGCTCGCGTCCAGGAATTGAGCTGCACCGAACTGAAGATATTCTTTGTCAGTTGTGAGTTTATTTACTTTTTTTAGATCGCGCTTGGCTCTCTTGCATATTTTACTTACATTAACAGTTTCTATTGTTATCACAATACCTGGCTATCTAATCCTACATTTGGGTAGCATCAAAGCTCAAAGCCTCGAGCGAGGTCTGGCCTGGCATCCCCAAAAGCCTCTAGATCTATGTCCCAATATTTTCCATGTAGGACGCAAAGAATCTCCCAGTTTAGGCGCTCCTTTCACAAGCGGCTCTATAATGCTCAGCTTTGGTCACCACTCACGCGTCACGCACCTGTAGTGCCTGGTGGGTGGATGTGACGTCAGGTGATTAGGGGGCCGTTGCATCACTGCCATCCACCGGCCGGCGCCGCGCGCGGAGGCGCCTTTCCCCTGATCCCGGATGCAAACGGTGTGCTTGCAGTGACAGCCTGAGACAGGGCTTGGGACTCGCGGTTCATTTCCCCGGCTCTGGACTGGACGTGAAGTGAACACGCTCTGATGTCACACAGTGCCACTTTCACTGTGCAGAAACCTGAGACAAAGACCCGTTCGGGGGTAGGAACTAGAATACATGAGCTTGCGTCACATCTTCCCAGCGGGGTTAAAAACGCAGCAAAATAGGAACGATTGCTGGATGACTTTGTTTTCCACGCAAATAAGTAAAGAAGTGGGCAACAAAATCTGCTGTGCCATGTCTAACAACAGTCTGCGCCCTGTCATCAACAAGCCAGCAGGGAATGAATAAGAGAGATATAGGGGAGAACAGACGTATGTACGGCTCTCGCGAGATTAAGCGGTAGGTTTTGCAGTTTACATTTCCGGTTATATCTCAGAAACTAATCGATCTACGATGAAGCCATTTTACACGATCATGGCCGGCTTGTTACCTAACAACTCGATCGCATCTTCAACACTTAAAAGCTTAAGACGACGAAGATATAGCCTGAAGTAAACTAAATTTTCTGGGTGCAAAACCTACCGCTAAAACCCGCGAGACCTTACACACGTAAGTTATAGGGGTACTCACAGAAAACGTCTGGCAGTGTGTCTCTAAATAATCAGCATAATTCTTTAATGCAAATTGCTGGAGCTTGGAACATAATGTAAGACGGTGAGGTTTGGTTGTAGCCTGTAGGCATCCGGCATGCCGCGCTGACAAGAAGATAATTCCCGATGCTCACTTTTGTTATTTAATCGTGTTTGACTGCGTTTGGTATTGTCACCGCGCAGTTGTCGGTGGTGAACCTACCTCTCTCTCGGCATAGGCTGTCGGCCGTCTGGGGCCTGGCAGCGTGTGGCACGAGGTCACAGCAGGTCACAGCAGGTCACAGAAGGTCACTGGCACATTCCACTGGGCGCGGTCAGGGTCACTCAGTCGGCGTCACGGCGCGGCGGCGCGCTGGGGTGCCACGGGTGACTCGTCTCCGCCGCTCGCTCACGGTCACGTGTCACGGCGCTCGGCTCCCGGGCGCGCGCTGATCTCCGGTCGGGGCGGACAACGGCGGGCGAGTGGCGACCGTCCGCTGCCAGCCGCGCCGCACGCATGTGGGTCAGTCAGCGGCGGCGACTTTCTCCGCGCGGCGCGGCCGGTTTCACTCTCCGTTGCCGAGGCGTTACTCGGCACGCCGCGCGGCATGGGCCGATGTCGCCGTTTGTGTAATCACTGCATCGTCTTTATATGTTGCCTGCACTGATATTTTAGGGTGATATTTAGATATTTAGATTACAGAGGTCAACAAAGTAAAATGTTGCCTATTTCAGCATTTTTTTCTCGAAAAGCCGGCGCATACATCGGGAAACAATAGTGCTATACAGCGGCAGCGCCGCAGAAAAATGCATTCGATAGCTTTTAGTTTTAACGCTCTTTCTGGAGTGAGCTCTCAGATTTGAGTCTGAACCGTTGGTTCTAGGTCAAATGATTTGACCTAGAACCAACGGTTCAGCCCATGACTACTTTACGTTTAGCCTTCAGAGGGCTAAAATCCGAAAAAGCCGAAAAGCGTCCCCCTGTAATAACTTTCGACAAAAAGTCGCTATATTTATTTCGCCAGCATCGTGTTCCTCTCGCCGAGACGCGTCAAATGAACTATAACATTACCTTGGAATGTCATTTCAAAATTTGACCAAAGGTCAAGGTCATGACCTGACCGAAGACGTCATGCTGCATATCAGTCGATCCGTATCATCGACTTGAACACATCTCAGGTATTTTCATCGCTCTAGCATGTCTCTATTGAAAATTATTGCCAAAAACTCCTGGGAACCTTTAACCCGCGCCCCGCTGTGCTTGCAACCATACGCGCCCTGCTGGGGGGGGGGGGGGGGGGCAGATTCTGCCCTGTGTCTTACTTCCGAACCGATGGTCGTAGAAAGACGGGGAAAACGGCAATCGAAAGCTCTCAACAAGGCGGATCTTGAAAGACGATTTTTTTTTGCTTACGTAGGTCAGAGGTCAGGTCAAGGTCAGGTCAAGGCCAAGGGTACAAAATGTAAGTTTCTACAGTATCGGCCTTGCACCGTAGTTGCCGAAAAATGGACTGAGACTGATTACCCAAAACGTGTTCTTAGGCTACCAAGACAATATTCGTTGCATACAATATCATGCAAAGGTCAAGGTCAAGGTCAGGTCAGGTCACCAAAAACGAAATATAGAAAAGGGCGTGTGCAACACATGTTTTGTGGGTCATTTTATTCATAGAAATCAATAGGCACACTCAATAAGTGATATGGACCACACCTGGATGAATTTCAGGTCAAGGTCAGGTCAAGGTCAGGTCAGTGAGGTCAAATTTTGAAGTTGGTTGTTAAGACCTAAAAAGTTGTCAAGTTATCTGATGCCGTTTTTCACGACGAATCGAACGGTGCTATTTTTGTTTCCGTACGAGGTCTAGAACTTCCAAAAATTCATTTTCCAAACACTTTGTGTGTCGTGACGTCATAAAAGTTTGAATAACTCCCACATTTTTGAGCCCATTCTTCTAAAAAAACTCCCACATTTTTTAGCCCATTCATCTAAAAATTGGTACCTATGTACATAGGTGCACATAGACCACTTCTCTGACATATATTCCGTTTTTTCGATACACTCAAAATTTTTGATTTTATAATTATTTTTTCCAAAAACGTCAGTTTTTTTTTAGAAAAAAGGTCAAAATCTATAATTTTCAAAAAAACCGAGATAGCCATTTGACAGACAAAGTAGAATCACGCATAACCTTTTTTGTTACGTCTTGATTCCTTTAAAAATGAAGACGTTAGCGTCGTTTGAAGTTTTTCCGTTTTTTAAGGCGAAAATGGCGGACATGACGTCACCTAAACGTCATTTTCTAAAAAAAAAATCCAACGGATTTCGGTCAAATTTTCAGGGAACGTGTCAAATTGATGTATGATAAGGTACTGAAAGTTTGACATCGCTGGCGTAACGCGTTTAGAAGTTATTGGTGAAAAACGGGAGGGGGCAGATTCTGCCCCCCCCCCCCCCCCAGCGGGGTGCGGGTTAAAACCTGAGATGACATCGGGGACTAAGGAGTCACAGGTGCAATTTTCCTCGTCAGAGTATCAAGCTAACCTGTATGTCCGATGTTTGAGTGTCTAGAATGGCGTTCGTCCAAGAGAGACGCCTTTAAATTTTATCCCATATACATAGGAGTTTATAATGGAGAGGTCGCAAAATTGACCTGACCTTAGGTAACCGAATACCGATAGGTATCCAAGTTCTGAGATAGGCATTTATACGTGCTGTTACTTTTATCAACCGCTGAAAGGTTCAGAGCGATATCATTCAGTCAATGAAGCTATGACGAGCATTCTAACTTTTCTGAAGTAAGGTTACCTCATGCGAACTGATGATCTGACCTTGAGCAGCCAGGGTCTGTGATTTTTTGGGCGCACGTCTGTACATACAGATGTGCGAGCGGCGCAGGGCCTCGGCTAAGGAATTTTGACTGGTGGGCCACTTGGGCAGCGACATGGACTGACCTTCGTAGCCATAGCCCCCCCCCCTATTTTCGATTTCTCCCCAGATTTCGGCCACTTTATTCTGCAAAAAACGTCAGGATGGCATTAAAAATGTAAAAAAAAAACGGGGCTCGACCCCCCCCCCCCCCCGACTCTTCAGAGAGAGAAGGAGAGTAGGGACCCACAACCCTCTCAGTGGTGATACTCCGGCGGTGCACATAAAATCGCACAAGTATGCACAAAATATTGACGCAGATTATAAAACTTTGGACGATAACTTACGGCCGGTCGGATGTTAACAATCAGCGAGCCCTGAATGGATCGCTCGCCGACTAGTCGGAGATTCGGAAGCGGTCGGACGGGATCGGGCGTTTTCGGGTGGATCGGGAGGAATTGTGAACAGCACTTTATATATAAAGTGGGTTGTAGCAGGAACCCTAAAAGGGGGTTGTAGCAGCAACTCCAACATCTCTGAAAATGATCATTAAGACTATTGGTGTCACATGGAAAAGAATTCACTCAAAAGCCCAAGCGCACTGCGCAACCCTAATACATATTTTCTTTAAAAAAAACAACTAAGTTATGTACACTTCTGGTGAACAGTGCTCGGGGTTACATGAGCAGAGTTAATACGCATTACAAACGGACTACAATGGTGAGCGAATAGGAAAATCCGTTCCTGATACGCATTTACTTGCTCATGTAACCCCGGTAATAGTCCCAAACTTCAGATTTCTCTTGGGTGTCTGAGTGGAAAATTCTAGCCACCCAAAATGTGAGAGTGGAAAAATATCCATTCTTATTCTTGAGTGTCATCTTCAGCCCAAATGAGAAATTTTTGGAACGCTGACTGTGAACGGTTCGAAATTCGTCCAACTGGTCAGAACTCAGATGTGCGACTGCAAGCATCATACCGTTCGTGAAGACGTAATATCGCTTGCAGACTTCAATCGGCTGGAAGTTGCCGACACTACCTCTAGTTTGACTCTGGCTTATATCGTGTCTATCGGCGAGCGGTCTGAGATCGCTCGCAGGCTTATCCCCGACCGTCTGAACTGGTCTGTTCTTTATTCGTAGTTTTTTCTTGTAACCGACTGGTCTGCGGCAGATGCTTATGTGACTGTAACCACTCGATCGATCGGAAAGCTTGCAAGAACTCTCGCAGACCTCGATCGGCTGGAAGCCGCCGACACTATCTGTAATTGACAGAGGCAAACGTCTTTCACGATTATTGCATAAAATTTAAATCCTCGGTCACACTTAAACGGATTGGACCAACGGACGAGAAACGGACGAGAACTGTCAGTGTCCGGTGATGTCCGTTTGTTTCCGTTGGACGTCCGTTTGTCATCCGTTAATATCCGTTCCATGTCCGGTGGTGTCCGGTTGAGCACACCGGACACCACCGGACATGGAACAGATATTAACGGATGAGAAACGGACGTCCAACGGAAACGAACGGACATCCCCCGGACATCACCGGACGCCGTCCGTTTCTCGTCCATTGGTCCAATCCGGTGAAGTGTGACGTAGGCTTAACCTACGGCTGTCTCAAGAAACCGGGAATGGTGATGGTGTTAGGCGGGCAACGACGATCAAGTTCTTACTTTTAATAAATGCAACAATGTAGTAGGGCCTCTGTCTCTGTATCACAATGTTACCTACGTCGTGATGTAAAATGTGAAAACTTCGATTTTTCGGAAAATTACTGGTGGGCCAAATCTTTGAGGCTGGTGGGCCATTTCGGGTCACTGGTGGGCCATTTGGCCCACCAGTTAACATGTTAGCCGAGGCCCTGGAGCGGCGCATGGCTGGTGTTCAGCCGACTGACCCAGTGCAGCGGCCGGCGGCCTCCATTATTCATAAACTATGCTCCCGTCCGCGGCCGAGTGCATTGGTGCCACCGTGGACACTGGACACTGCAGTGTGCAGTGGCGCCGCGACAGTGCAGCGGCCAATCCCGGGGGTCGCCACGCCCTGAGCGGTCAGCACGCCTAAAATGCCTTGAGACTATCCTTTGAGACAGGTAACTTCTGTTCCTGAGCTTTGAACCGATTAAAATAACCGAAGTAGGTACGTAGTACGTACCTCATTTAATTATTTTGACGATCTTTCGAACGTCGAAACGGCTTTCAAACGCTGAAAATTTGACCTATACGGTTGAGGTTATGACCTGACCGGAAACGGGTCATGTTGTATGTCAGGTCAGTCGATACGCATAGGTATTTATGCTGACTGAACACTTACAAGGTGTTTTCAATGCTGTAGTTTTAATTGAAAACTGACGGCGACCCTTACCCGCGTCCCGTAGTAGGGGAGAGGGAGGAGGGGCGAAACGGCTTTATCTCCTTTTCTGTCGATATCTCCAAAGGTAAGTAAAAACATACAACACACACATTCAGCTCGATATATCAATGGACCGATTGACAGAGCCGAAGCCCACACTAAGCAGAGATTGCTGCGTAGACCCCGAACCCTACCGGTCGATCTCACAGTTCTGGATACCCAGGGACCGCGGATTCCGGGGGGGCAGGGTGTGCAATTGCACACCCTGAAAGTCTTGAGGGTGTGCAAACACCTATTTTTGCACACCCACAGTTCGTTGTGGGGGCCGATGCGGCCCTGGCGCTTGAGTGTCCCAAGCCGATTCTCGAGGGCCCCAGCGCGAGCCTGATGGTCCCGCACCGGTGCCTGAAGGCGTGAACAGGTTCTAGTGTTATCTCAGGGGTTATCTCAGAACCCCACCCACGCCATTTTTTAGCGCTCCCACCGGCTCTTGAGGGCCCAGGCCGATGCCCCAGTGCCCCAAGTCGATGTCTAAAGGTCCCACGCCGGTGTCTGAGTGCCTACATGGCTAGTAGGGCTGACCGAGATTGCTTCGAATCGGACGAATTTCATAGTTCGGCTTCGGCTCACTCTTTTTCCTATGTAAAATTTAATTTTAGATAGGGTCTTACATGGGACAAAAATTGATCAGGATACATCTTCCGTAGTAAAAATGCAGTTTTATGGGAACTGTTTCCAGAAGTTAGTGGTATATTTGCAACATCAGTTTCGTACCTCCTCTTTCTTATCGATGAATGGTCTTTTGCTTCGAAACCTCATCATACGGCGTACGAGTCCAAAGAATCAGGTTGGATGGAATACCGGTGGCTGCAAAAACCTACGAAACAGGTGAAGCTGCTCTTCAGAGCAATTTAAACTCTTCCAGAATTGCTGAATCTTGCCAGAGGCATTGGCGACTAAAGCCTCTCCCTCGGCAGGATCAATACAACGGCACTGATTGGTTGTTTGCACATATCCGGACAGGTACACGTAAACGATATCGATTCGTTGGATGCACGCCTATAACCATGCCCTTAAATAATTTTTCCTACTAGTAACATGTAGTGAAAAGGCACATGTCAATGCTGGTGTTAAGGTTAGTACCCAAATCTGTTGAAAGTCTATCAAAATATACGTCAATTGACTTCACAGCTGATACAAATCATTCAAATCAATTTTATTCAAAGTTGTTTGCAATAGTCTACCAACAATCACCAGCAAAGAGCACTGAGGGAATATAGCTGAACAATTAAACATTAAACATGTCAATGGGATCGGTAGGTTTAGCGATTTGGTGGTTTCCATTCATCCGAGTCTAGTGATAGAGGTCCGCGATTTCTGATGCCTTTTTATATTCCATCAGGGCCCATAATTCAAGCAGATAGCCCAAAGCAAAACGTAGATGGATTCTTAGGCCAAACGAACCATCAGGAAGGCATCTGGCGGCAAGATAAGGGATTTGGTCGGAAGTGGTAGAAAGTTCAACCAGAATCAAGTAGGTACCAGCTACAAGGGCTGTGTTGCAAAGAGGAATTTTGATTCAGGAACAGCTGATGATCGTCAAAGAAAGAGCGAGAAAGAAGATCAGTGTGAGAGAGATCGTGAAGGAGCTGGTTCCACTTATCCTGGCGCAGTGACTGAAATCCAATTATGCAAGATTCAGCCCTCCAGTCCAGTGATCATCTAGGAGAAGAGTCTCACGGTGAAAGTGGAGAAGCTTTGGAGAAGAGTCGAAGAAGTTGCTCTAGGAAGGGCGAAACAAACTGAGAGGAAAAGGTCATGCAAATGCTGAACAAACTGTGTAATATCACCACCTGCCCTCATTCCATTCTGTTTTGTGATGAGCCAAATAAAGTGTACCAAATACCTAAGGTGATATGAGTTTTTCGTCAATAACTCCCAATCAAATTGAGTTAGCGAGTCGCAAAAGTCACGAATGGACTCAGGAAGACCTGCCGAATCGAATGATATGCAGCATAACCTCTTTTGATTAAGGTCGTGACCTAAGGGGACCTGACCTGACCTTGACCCGAGGTCAACACCCTAACTTGCTCTCACCCGAACAAAAAGTATACCATTCGACGCGCCTGATATAGCAAAACACGATGGTGACAAAATCGCGGCTCTGCGACCATTTTGAGCGAAGTTATTCACCAAAAACCGAATCGGTCTTGCGCCACTTGACCTGACCTCAGAGGTCACCAGTTAATCTCAGGCCTTAAAATCGGGTACCAATCGCTGCGTCTCGTAACGGTGCACACACTCGTTCTTTCCCCAAGACTCTAGCTCAATTAGGGGCGAAACGGCGATGGGGGTCGTACCAACCTCTCATTCTCGGCCGTGGCGCGTATAGAAAACCAATAGGTCCGGCGAGGGTTGAATACAAATGTGCAAATTTACTACGAAAGGAGTGTTTTTATCAAAAAATTGCAAGAGGACATCTCACCTTAAAATTCAATTTTACATCGGAAAAAAGGTGAGCCGAACTGAAATTGCAAATTCGAAAATCTCGGTCATCCCTAATGGCTAGCTCAGAGATCCACGCCAGTTTCTGAGGGCCCTAACCGGCTCTTGAGGGCCCCTGCCCCCTGCCCTCCTTAACCCCCTCTTGGGGCCGATGCCTTAGGGTCCCGCATCAGCACCTGAAAGCCCACAGAGTTATCTCAGGGCCCCATACCAGTTTCTGAAGGCCCTCACCGGCTCTTGAGGGGCCCCAGACCGATATCCAAGGACCTCTGGCCAATGTCCGGGGGCCCCAAGCCGTTACCCGAGGGCCTTACACAGCTATCTCAGGGTATAATGCCACTTTCCGAGGGCCCTAACTGGCTCTTGAGGGCCCCAGGCCGATTCCTGAGATCCCCAGGTTGATGTGAGAGGGCCGACCGACTGAGGCGGCCCCTACGTCAGTTACTTGGGGCCTTAATGGGGCTTTGGGGCCTTAATGGGGCCCCAAAGCCAGCGTGTGGGCCGTAGAGCAATGGGGAAGCTAAGGGGGTCGGAGGCCAGACCCCCATAGGTCATAAGGGCCAAATCGATGGGCCCAAACATCCTGCCGGCCGTGTTTTATTTTTAAACTAATTCATGTAATCCATGATAAAACGATGTGTGCCAACATCAACTGTGCAAAAGGGCTCTCTGAGGCCCGTAGGGGCCCTTGAATGTCACTGTAAGCCTTTGGGGCCTGCATGGGAAAATCGGAGATCGATTTGGATCACGTTGCATGCATGCATGTGCATTTACTCTGCTCATGCATCTCCTGACCGTAAGATGCTCGCTCAGTCATCTTGCGACCGTCAACTTTGAAGGTTTTCCCGCCCCGCTTCCTTAGAACCGGCTTATTCTGGAGCAGTGGCGGCACTGACTTTTTGGAAGGGACCCGGCGTGAGATGGGGGGCCCAATCGCCACATCTTGCACAATGCACACCCTACGAGAATTTGAATCCGCGGTCCCTGTGGATAGCGGGATAATTTAGATGCCAAAATTTACCGAGTCCATCAAAGCTGGACACGTCCTGTCCCACACAACTGACTTTAACTGACTGCGGCTGCCCCCAGCAACCACAGACCATTCCCGTCTGGAGTCTCAAATACGGAGCTCCGGAGCCCGACCAAACTGAGTACTGTGTGGTGGCGCCACCAGTGGCAGCGCATGCAGCTAACGTTTAGTGTTGCGGCCATTAGGGACCGCCACCTCACGGCTACATCGTGGGCAGAGGAGAGTCATTCGCTCGCGACACCAGGGAGTGGACATTAGCCGTGGCCCTGAGGGGGGGGGGGGGAGGGGGAGGGTTGAAGGAAAAGGAGGAGCTGAAGCCATCCTGTAAGAGGGATGTTCACCCGTTGGATAGAAGGCTAGGCTCATTAGAAGGTTATAGCTCATTCGACGCATCTTGAGATCGGAGCACGGTGCTGGCAAAATCAATGTCCTGCCATTTTTCGAGTGAAAAGGTATTGCAGAAAAATATTTTCCGTAGAAAACGTCGATTTTAAGAGTTTTGCCCTCTAAAGGCAAGCCGTTGATCTTTGGTCGAATCTGAGGACGGTCCACAGAAAGAACGTTGAAGAGCTATCGAAATTCGAATGCGCTTTTCTACGGCGCTATAATAGCTCTATTCATTCACGAGTTGTGTGCCGATTTGGCAAGAATTGTTAACAGGTAAAACTTGACTTTTGATAACCTTTGACAACATGACCTAAAAATCACTGACGTACTTTCATGATTTTGACGCTCTTTCGAATGCCGCTTACTGCACGGCACTAGGTAGCCCAGGAGTCGAGTTAGAGAAGGGAAAGGGGGTATCTCTCGGGCGTAAAACGCCCCAGAGAGTCGTGTCACTGGTTTGCTTCCGATTGCGGTGTGTATTCGTCAAGGATCTACATCAAAAAGTGGCTTTCCACCTGACACGTAAAACCGATCAAACCGATAAAACTGGGTAAGTGGACATGGCATCATGTCGACTTTGATCAGTTCCCCATCCCGCCTCCGAGAGCGTGTTCAAACGCCATGCTCGACTCCACTGTTTGTATTCTGCACTCGCGCGGTACGCCACTCGCCTGCAGCTGGTGCGTGACGCGCTATCTGTGGTACCTACAGCCCACCCACCCCGGCCCGCAGCCCGCAACCCGCGCCGGACAGCCGTCGGCACGGCTCATCACAATGTGGTCGTCGCGGCGCGGCGCGTCCGGCCGACTCCCTCCCCACTCGCGCACGGCCCGCCCCCGCCTCCCGCCGGGGACCGCGGCCCACACACTGAGCTAACCGCCAGGACGGGCCCACCGCCCGACCAGTCAAATGCTATACGACTCATTATAATCTGTCATAATAAAACTGTCGACGATGCGCGCGGCAATGCACTGCCGCTGGCCCGGTGAGGGCGGTCGGAGCGTCCCGGTCGCCGGCCGGCCCGGCCCGCCTGCCTCCGTCGGACAGCGGCGCCGGGCCGTATCACACTCACTCACTCGGACGGGCGCGGCCCGACGGCCCGGCCGACTACTTCATCTCTGCCCGCGCGCGCTCGCGCTGCTCGCCGTCGTCGGAGGGCGCGGCGCGCTCGAGCACGGGCTCGCCGCCGGAGCGCACCATCTCCTCGGTGACGTGCACGGAGACAATGTCCGAGCCGGGGATCTCGAACATGGCGTCCAGTAGCAGCTTCTCCTGCGGACGGACAGACGGAACGGGTCAGTGGCGGGCGGGCCGACGGAACGGGTCAGTGACCGTCCACAGCCTCACCACCGGCTGAGCCTTTTGATGTTTACCGGTTGAATGTGATTAAAATACGCTGAAGCGCATTCATTCATTAGAACAAACTGAAGCGCGCTCCAATACATGTTTGAATTCAGATATAGGTTTACGGAGTCATATAGCGTAGTGGAGGAACATACCACCCTTAGGCTCCACTCAAACACACACACAGAAAGGATCTTTAGAAAAGACCGACGAGCATTGCCACCCGCGACCGATCACATGACCAGAAATCAGACAATCGGGGCCACGTTGCAGACAACCCGCCCCCTTTGGCTGCCGATGCACCCACAGATCAGGCAACCGACGGTTCGGAGCTCCCGGGCGGGGCGGACCCTCCCCGACAGCCGTACTCACCACGATGGCTCGCAGGCCGCGCGCGCCGGTCCGCCGCTCCATGGCCAGCGCGGCTATCGAGCGCAGCGCGCCCGGGCTGAACGTTAGGTCCACCTGCAGGCAGCGGTCAGCCGTGAGCCGCCGGGGCGCCACTCAGAACACAGGTCACAGGCACACAACACACCGCAGGGGAGCTGCTTCAGTCTCTGAACGCTACCGCGACTCCTACTGAGCCGAACATAATGTACTGTAACACGTTGAGCCGCCCCTGGGACGAACTACCTCTCAGCATCTGACAGTTATTGGGGTGGCGTGTTCTGCGGCTCCGTGGAGCCTCCCTCACCTTGTCCATACCAAACAGCATCTGGCACTGGGGTATGAGCGCGTTCTGCGGCTCCGTAGAGTCTCATCTCTCACCTTGTCCATACCAAAGAGCATCTGGTACTGGGGTATGAGGGCGTTCTGCGGCTCCGTAGAGTCTCATATCTCACCTTGTCCATACCAAAGAGCATCTGGTACTGGGGTATGAGCGCGTCCTGCGGCTCCGTAGAGTCTAGTCTTTCACCTTGTCCATACCAAAGAGCATCTGGTACTGGGGTATGAGCGCGTTCTGAGGCTCCGTAGAGTCTTTCTCACCTTGTCCATACTAAAGAGCATCTGGTACTGGGGTATAAGCGCGTTCTGCAGCTCCGTGGAGCCTCCCTCACCTTGTCCATGCCAAACAGCATCTGGTACTGAGGTATGAGCGCGTTCTGCGGCTCTGTCAGGATGCGGACCAGCATCTCGGTGTCGAGCGAGTGGAACGGCACAATCACCGGGAACCGGCCGCAAAACTCCTGTAGGAGGAAAGGCGGGGAGGGTCAGAGTTCTGGTCCGGAGGACCGGCAGGGGGGGGGGGGGGGGCGGTCACAGCTCCGATCAGAGGCCCGGCGAAAGTTCAGGTTAGAGTAGTCGTAGTACCAGTGGTAATGGTTACGTCAGCAAGCCAAGCAGCAAATTATAACAAACCAGTAAAACCGCCTTTTGGGCGAAGAACGAGCGAGCGAGATAGTGAGCCCTGCACGTGCGGAAGGGCGAGAGGGTACTTCCAACGGGCTTGCGCAAAGCACCCTTCTAACTGGTCGCTAGCGGTGTGCCAAATTTGAACGCAATCGGCCCAGCCGTTCCTGAGATCTGGAAGCGGCATTGTGCACGTGCGCACGTGCAAACGGGGTCCAAAATGACTTTTGCACGGCACCCTACTAACCGGTCCCCAACCGTGTACCAAATTTGAGCGCAATCGGCCCAGCCGTTCTCGAGATCTGGAAACGCCCCCTGCACGTGCGCACGTGCAGTAGCACCCTAACCGCAACACATGGGAATGCATTGCCTGGTGGGTGCCTACCTGTATGCCAAGTTTCAGCGAAATCGCCCCAGTAATTACCGAGTTACTGAAATGGGAACAAATTTGACACCTCTTATTGTTGTATTTTGCACGTGCACTGGGGGTGACCCACATGCTTCGAGAGTATGCGACCTTTGGTAGAAGGGATGCAGCTACCCTATAAAAATTACCGCAAGACAATCGCTCAAGCCGCTACTGAGATATGGGCCTCTCAAAATCACTACTTTTGCAAAACTGCTTGAACACCCTTGACTTTTCACGTGGCACGTGCCACGACGGTGACTTAGATGTATCACAAGTAGTCAATTACGGGGTAGAAGGGATGGGGCTACCCAACAAAAAAGACCGCAGGCCAATCGGTCCAGCGGTTGCTGAGATATAAGCCTCTCAAAAGCGTTACAGGCCGGGCCGGGCCGGGCCGGGCCGGGCCGGGCCGCTCATACTGAGATTTTTCCGTTATATTGAAAAGACTCGCTTTGCTCGCTGCGCTCGCTCGCTCGTAATCAGACTTAGTAGACTGACTTGACGCGTGTTCAATGTCTTGTGACAAAGTCGCGTGTCGAAGCTGTGAAGTAATATCAACATTCAACATTTGCTTTTTGTCAGCTTCAATGAAGATCTAATGCACCACCACTCTTGGGCATGCCTACAAACGTCGTCATCCATGCTTTGAACATGCTTTGAGCAGACTCCTGTAGTGTGACACCGTGGAAACATTCTAGAATCAGAACTGTAAGACCAATGTTTCCGAGCCTGGGACAAAACGGCCCTCCTCCCCGTCACATATTTCCTCCCCGCACCCTCCTCTATTCCCTGTCCTTCCCGGAAAAGTCCCTCCCGTCCCCGTGTCCCCTCCCCGTACCGGAGCAGTGTATCGTGTACAGTGTACAGGGGTCGCTCTCCCCGCACGAGAGCGACCCCTGTCCGTCCCATCCGCGGCTCCTCTCCGTCCCGCTCGCGGCCGTACCGGGATCATGCCGAACTCGATGAGGTCCCTGGCCTCGACGGCGCTGAGCATGGCGTCCCGCTCCTGATTGTCCTCGGCCACGGCCGAGACGCCCGCCTGGTTGGCCTGGTCGGCCTGCGAGGCGGCCCGCCGGCCGGGCGACACGGCCGCCGGCACGCCGAAACCCAGGTACTGCCGGAGGGCGGGAGAAGCGGCGTCACATACAGGGTGGAAGGGGGACGGGGTGACGTGACAGCACAGCAACGAACACAACAGCAGCACAGCATCCGATACAATAGTGGTACGTCACCCGATACAACAGCGGTACAGTATCGGAAATAACAACGGAGACAACGCCCGAATCAACACCGAAGACAACATCGGCAACAACACCGGCACAATTACCCGAAAGAAGGGCACAGCAGAATTAAAGAGTGCTCTGCATTACAATTGTTTTCTACTAATCATTGGACAAAGTGATTATTATGTCCATACATGTAAGCTCGCCCGGAATGACCGCACCGATGACCGAACCCTACGTCATGTAAATGTCGTGTCAAAAGGTGGCCAATAAGAAAAAGTAAAAGCCTTAACAGCAGGGTTTTTTCAGACTGGTCGCGCTCACAAATATAAGGCTCGCCCCCGCCTCCCAAGTGTCTCCGAGACCAGTCTGCCTTCGGAGTCTCCCTGCCCAGTGTGCCCACCTTTTCGTTTTTCCTCCTGCTGATGACGCGGTCGAGCCCGTTGAAGGCGCCCGAGGCGACGAACAGGATGTTGGTGGTGTCCACCTGAACAGACTCGCCGCGCAGCTTCCGCGGCGAGTTCTTCTCCGGCACGTTCACCACCGTCCCCTCCAGCATCTGACCGCGGGGGTGAGGGGGGGGGGGTCACAGGACTGAATGGCAGTCCTCTTTTCAACCGGGATAGGGCGTCACGTCACGGACTGAGTGGCTCTAATATACGTTAATATAGGTAACGAAAAACATATAACAAACAGAGACTATGATATAGCAAACAGATCGTCGTTCGCCGGTTGTCACGGCGCACCAGCTAGGCAATGAGAAGAAAAATGTGTGGGGCGTTATTTTCGCCTTTGGGGACCTATGGTGCCTAGATCGTCACCTTGAGCATGGCCTGCTGGACGCCCTCGCCGCCGACATCCCTCAGCTGGTGGATGCCCGGCACGGCGCCGATCTTATCCACCTCGTCCAGAAACACGATACCTGCCGCGCAGGGGGACTGAGTTACACACACATACACACACACACACCGGGCACGGCGCCGATCTTATCCAGCTCGTCCCGTGATCTGCCACTCATCCCGCTGACATCTCTTCCTCTACAAGTCCCAGTGTCCGTCGCTTACCCTGTTGGGTACATCCTCCCTTCATGTCCCTTGATCCGCCCCCCCCCCCTACCCCTACAGATCCCCGTGATCTGTCACTCACCCTGCTGGGCGCGCTCCACCTGGTAGTTGGCGTCCTGCAGCAGTTTGGCGATGACCGACTCGATGTCCTCGCCCACGTAGCCGGCCTGCGTGAGCGTGGTGCAGTCGCAGATGGCGAACGGCACGTCCAGGCACTTGGCGATTGTCTGCGCCAGCAGCGTCTTGCCGACGCCGGTGGGCCCCAGCAGCAGGATGTTGGACTTGTCCAGCTGCATGTGGTGCGTCTTGGCGTCCAGGATGTCGCTGCTGTGCTGGTGCAGGCCGGCCGGCGGCGGCTCGGCAGCGCCGCCCTTGGACTGACCGCCGGCTGCGCCGTCCTCCGGCTTGTGGAACGTCACGCCCAGTCCGTGGTTCTGCGTCAGGCCGGTGATGTGCAGCAGATCTGTCCGAAAACACGCACAAAGTGGGGTCAGCAAATCTGTCCGGAAAATACACACAGCGGGGTTAGCAGATCTGTCCCAGCCAAACACAGAGGAGTGATCAGCGGATCAGTGCGGACCACACGCACAGAGATCAGCATATCTGTCCGGACCACACACACAGAGGGGTCAGCACTGTGCGGACCATACACACAGAGGCGTCAGCAAATCTATCCGAAAACAAACACAGAAGGGTCAGTAGATCTGTCCGGAAAACAAACACACACACAGTGAGGTCAGTAGGTCTGTCCGGAAAACACACAGACGGGTTAGCGGAGCAGCGGCGCTGAGCCTGAGGTCGACTTCCGCTGACTGACATGATAAGAACGCACCCAATCTAGTTAAATCTAATTAAGTGCACGTGGTCAACACGTGGTACACATAACACAGTACACATCGTATCACCGTAATCACTGGCTCAAAACGGCTCATAGCACGCCCATCAGAGCGTGCCACTATAAACAGCACCGTATGACCCCGGCGGCCCCCGACTAGCCAGTCAGCTCGCCAGAAGTTCAGTCCCCTGCCCCGCGGCCGGCCCGGGAGGGGCCCTGCAGTCTGCACTGTGTCGGCCAGTCAGCGCTCAGCGAGATTCTCAGGCTCAGCTCCCCACACCTCCCGCGGTCCGCGCGCGCCGTCCGCTGTGTCGGTGGATTACCTTTGGTCTCACCTCTGTGAGTGAACGTGTGTGAGCTCTGCTCGGCGCCGCCCGGGCCGGGCGGGCCGCCGCCGCCGCCGCCGCCCGGCAGGTTGTGGTAGATGCGCTTGTAGTGGTTGTACACGGCCACGGAGAGCACCTTTTTGGCCGCCTGCTGGCCAATCACCTGCAGCTCCAGATACTCGTATATCTGACAACACAGCGGGTCATACACTGAGAACACAGTGGTGGAAACACTGAAAACACGACAGGAGACACTAATAACACGGCGCGTCATACACTGAGAACATGGCAGCTTATATGACAGAGGACGCAGCGTGTCAGTGAACATGCATGTACATTGTACATACATTGAGAAAACATCAGGTCATGCAGTATAACACATCGTACAGCTGAGAATAACGTGCGCCTGAGGACATAGCGGATCATACAGCAGAGGACATTTCCAGTGCAATACCAGCACGGCGCCCGGACTGACCTTTTTGGGCGCCGGCGGCGGTTTCCTGTGGAGCGACTGCCGCTGACTGAGCTCGTTCTCTTTGATGGTCCGCTTCGAGTCGACATCGGACAGCACCACGAAAAAGTGGTGACAGTTCTCGCACTTGACGAACCGGGTGGACGCTGTCGGACAGTCATCGCCCGCCCGGTCAGAATCGGACAGCGCCGGGCAGCCGCCGCCAGCGCGGTCAGAAACGGACAGCGTCGGACAGGCACCGCCCGCCCGGTCAGAATCGGACAGCGCCGGATATTCACTGCGAGCGCAGCCAATATCGGACAGCAACGGATACCTTATCACCGCGAGCGGCGAGCGCAGTCAGACTCGGATATCTTAAAACGCGAGCACAGCCAGACTAGGAGGTTAACCACGAGCGCAGTCAGAGTCGAACATTTACCGCCAGCAAAGTCATACTCGGATACTTACCACGAGCGCAGTGAGGCTGGTAAAAACCCCGAGCCCTGTCAGACTCGGACGTTCACCGAGAGCGCAATCAGACTCAGGTATTTACCGAGAGCGCAGCCAAATTCGGACATTCACCGTACGCGCAGTCGGACTCCTCGGATATTTACCGTGAAAGCAGTCAGACTCGGGCATTTACGACGAGCGCAGTCAGATTCAAACAATTATTATCACCGGTGCACTCAGACTTAGAAAAATAGTAGATATTTATCACGAACGCACTCAGCCTCGGATATGTACCGTGACCATAGTCAGACTCGGACAATTATCGCGGAAAAAAAACATGAGCGGCGAGCGCAGTCCATTTACCGCAAAGGTGTTCAGGCTCAGACATTTACCACTAGCGCAGTCAGAGTCGGGCATTTACCGCGGGCGCAATCTGACTCGGCAAATAGCGGATATCTATTACGAGCGCAGTAATTATGCTGCCATTTACCGCCAGCGTAGTCTGACTCCGACATAAACCATACGGACCGCCCTCTAATCAGCATCCCTTCCATCACTGCATCTCACCCATTTCCGTCAATAGACATCGCTGGGTCCCAGTGTTCCACACGCCACCCGGCCCCACCTCTGGACACCGCCCTCTCCACCGGCGCCGCTCCGCGCTGTCTGCCGGTCCCGGCCCGCCAACAACTCACACACAAACGTCTCCACATGTGTGCAGGGGTCGCCACACTTTGGGCAGCGCAGCTGGTCCTTCTTGCCGCCGCCGCCGTCGCTGCCGGCTGCGCTGGCCGACTTGCAGGCGGCCGCGGAGGTGGACAGCGGGCGGCGCAGGCCGGGCACGCGCAGCAGCCGGACGCCCAGCGCCGGGCTCGCTAGGGCAGGACAGGGGTGTGTCAGTGGCAGCAGAGGACATGTGTGTGCCACAGTCCAGCGACTACTCCGTGGCTGCAGCAGGTACTGTCAAAAAAATAACACTGACACAGAGAATCACTCTCACCTGTTCTGACGGCAGCTGGAGATATGGCAAGACGCAGGACTCTATGAGCTGAGCGGAAGTTGCACTTCATTCCTGCCATTGCTCCACAGATCTCTGAAATGTTAACAGGGAAAGTAATGAAATCACACAGCTTAGTGAAATCAATGTTGTTTTGTGCCATGATTATTATAAAAAATAATGGGGTAACTATATAATTAATATGGCACAAATGCATTCTTTTAGCAGTTAAAAAGATGAATGGCAGGAATATAGAGCATTAAATTATGCATTTTAGTATTTAAATTGCTCAAAGAACAAATTTGTGCCATAATAATGACCATTTTCTTATCTGGTATAAGCAAAACACCTATTTACAATAGAACATCTTATTCTGAATTGCAGCATCAAGTACCATAACTTAGAAAAGCCCTGCCATACTTATACTGTACAAGATACTGGCCCAGGTGCAAATACAGAAGCAAGACACAAACAAGCCATATTTAATGAAGTGAAACTGGCAGAAATAATTGTAAAAAACCAGTTTATTAGTATGCTGCCAGTTATCCCATGCATGGAGTCGATGGAGACTGCTTGCTGGCATTTCTCTGCCACTCATTGATAAAAAGTACATCCCTAACCAGTGAGAAGCACAGAAATACCAACCGCAGCATGCCCATTAACAGCTGACCCCTATTATAAAAAATACTACCTATTTATTACTGAATGACTGAACCCTTACACAACACCACTAGTAAGCTTCAAGTTATCTAACAATGACCACATTTCCAGGGGCACTGGTGATCGGGATTGACACAAATAATTCATACATTTTCCTTTAGCTCTTCACTACAAGTGATAAGTCAAGGCAATAAAACTTTATGTTATCATTAATCAACCCATCAAGCATCTATCGACACTACATACCTACTGGATTAGCTAATCCACTTTTACTAATCTGAATCACAGGTACGTTACAGGTACCCATGGAAACTGGGCCAAAATCATTACACCAAAGAATACCATATTGCTTTACAATTAAAAAAAAAACAGTTTTAACTTTTAACCAAACAGTGCATCAAATGGTTTTAAACTTGCTTTTAAAAAGCCCACGTGTAAGAGCAATATTGATTGAGACACAAGCAATTCAATGAATTGAAGACTCAAAAGCAGAGCCAGATAAACTGCATAAATAAATAAAAAAAAAACACTCCCAAGGTAGCATAAGCATTTGGATTCACTGTCATCCAGAAAAAAACTGAATGACAGTTCTGAGTTCACACAAGTCATTTTGATTTATAAGGCATGAAATCAATATGATCCATAGCAGTGATGTAAAAGCGATCCAAGATAAACCAGTCAACTCTAAGATTGCTAAACCAAAAGGAAAAATATGAAAAATAATCAAGAAATGGTTACATAATGCAGATGCCACCACAGCAACTTGATTCGCCACGATCGCCCCAATTGCGCAATAGTATGCACATGAGTGACAATCAGCCCATTATGCTGAATGAAACTTGAATGGAACGACGTACTTAAAGGCAAAATAGTAATTTAAAATCATAGGATGAAAATTACTCACCATACACAAACCAAATAAATATGGCTCTCTCTATCGCCTGGATAAAAATAGGCCCCGCCCATCCCAATCAGCTGCTGCATGACGAGTTGATGACGACAACCACTACTTACCAGCAACCAATCTAGGGATAGCGTACGTGACAGTAATGGTGCAGCGGTTGCAAAATATTACATTGTTATTCAAACGGTTTTTGCTTTTAGGGCCTTGTTAGATGAGGATGAGGTTAGATTAGATGAGGTGTTGATGAAGGCAGGTATTTTTTTTAAATATTTTTTTGACAATTTTTTGCCCTTGTTTTACTTAAGCTGAACCCGGGACCACCTGAAGTCTAAACCTTATTTTATATAACATGTCAATGCTGATGCTGTCTTGAAATGTGAAATTTAGACAATGGTTATAGGAATAATGAATAGCAATTTCACCAACAACATTTTAATCTCTAGGAAGTGCAATTAAAATTAAAATCACTGTCTGCCACACTGCTCCATCCTGGTCATGCAACCAACGTTCATGGGTGGTGTTTCACGGCAGAGCACGCACTGCAGTGCTCAGCACTGCAGTGCGCTGCGTGTGTCAGAGCATTGGGTTTCCATGGCAGTGTCAACAAACTTCACTGTGACGCTAAGCTATGACAGCATCCCAGAACGCTAGCACGCTGCGGTACCAGCACCAGCAGCATGCTAGCAGTATTTGAACTCAAACCTCTGTTCTTGGTACGGTTTTTCAGAACCTCTCACTCTGTTCCAAACGCGATTGATCATAAACTAAGAGATCACATGCAACGTCATTTGAGTGATGCTATGGTATGCCGTAGCTACCAGTGCACACAGTGTCTGGATGGTGAAACAGGGCCATTATTAATCACATTTGCTTTGCTTTGTTTCAGCAGAAACCTGTCTGCACATGGGAGGAGCTCAACAAAAGCCCATCAAGTTCATGCATGGCAGTGGATCTCAACAGGAGAAAACCAGAAAGAACATGGATGCTTGTAGATTGCAGTTGTACACTGCTGTTATCACCTGATGTGCGTGGCTGGCATTGCTCCTGGCAAGAACCACCTGCAAGTGATGAGAATGAGATGGTGCCTCAGTCGTTGAGTGTGCTGCAGTGTGAGAGGCGCCCTGATCTCTACTTTGTGATAGGTTTCCATTGGAGGTTCAACTGAGAAGTGAGAACTGACTGTGACCATGCTTGAGCATGCCAGTGGAGCTTTACATGCTTAGGGCAGCTTTTGAACAGATGCTGACCATGGCATGTCCCATCCAGTTATCACGTGCACAGAATGGTGGGGGGAGGGCAACTCTGGGCTCTTGAGTCAGCCCTACTGCACAGGGGGTACAGATGGCCGCTTACGTTTGGTGTGTCCTGCACTGCATTATCAAGCCCAGTCTGCGCCACAGGCAATGGGTCGGGCTGCACTATATTAAAGGCAGACTATCTTGCAAAGGAGGCTGGCATCCTCTCCCATAATGACACACCAATTGGCAATCATCGCTGCGATGATCACGAGGGTGTCCGCTTATCTAACATGGTGAGGTGGAGAGCCAGTTCAAGCTGGCCTGAGGGATGGTTTTACTTCATCTGAGGCCCCCTTTCCCCGCCTGCCAGGTCCGGTCAAACGACCGCTTCACAGTGAACGACTTGCAGTGGATGCCGTCCCACAGCGCAACGAGCTCGCCGACCAGAGGCGGCGGCCAAGAGGCGGCCGCGCTCCCCCAGTCGACGGTCCCGGTGGACGTCGGCGACGCCCACCGCGCGACCATCAGATCGGCTCGCGACAGCGCCGTCGCCGACTGACCGCATGACTGGTATCTGTTCTTGATGTGGGACCGACTGCCACCGCCGGTCGCGGAAGGGCATCGCTCATCGGCCATCGACGTCCGCCAGCTTCGCGTGGGTCACTGTTCGGGCTGCCACCAATACACCGAATCGGATGGAACCCTGTCGGCGAATGCCGGCGGTGCCCCGACATCGACTGCGCGGCGGCCAGTGCATCGCGTGCCGGGAGGAGGCTGGCACCCCCGATCGGTCATTGGTCACAAACCGTGTCCCAGCTCATGACTGCATCCAGCGCAGCTCTGTGAGATGTTCTGCAGCTGCTGCAGTCTGCCGCGTGTGTTAGTGAAAGAAGAATGAACATGAGAAAACCTCAAAACTTTATGCCTATTCGCAATTGACCAGTATTGGAATAAGTTTGGATTTTGAGAATTTGTGTCCCTGTGCTTGTGCCTGTGTGGAAAGGCATGCTTTACGGTGTACCATCTCAATGTCAAATCCCGGCTGCGCTGTGCGGATTTGTGCGGCTGCTGACAGGCCACCTGGGTGCCAACGTATGTGCGAATCCGCGAATACGTTGTGTTTCGTCAGTCAGTATCGTTCTGAAAATATTGACTGCAATAGGCTATATAGCGTATGACGGTTCAGCCCAGCAGTAATAACTGACCATTGATTGGGCGAATTTTGTGTGGTGGTTCGCTAATACATAACCTAAAGAGTGTTTTGCCGGAATCGTTTAGTAGCAGAACTGACCGGAATATAAGTAGAATGCAATGGTTTGAATCGTTAATTTGTTGAAACGATTGTTCTCTGAGACCACTGTGTAACTTTTGACCTGAGAATCACCAATTATAACGACAATGGGGAAGCAGTAGGCTGTACTGTAGAGTGTAGGCAACACTATATAGTTGGCACACATACGGAAGCACACGACTTACGCAGTGGACATCTGCATCATGCATGTTAAGGTTTACTGGGAAGAGTGAGAAATTAGTCAGAATATAACTGACTAAGGAAAATAGGCGATATTTCCTATTGAGCTGGGGCGGAGAGGGGGAGGGGACGTGTGGTCAGCTATGCCAATAATTCATTCTCTTTATGCAGCTGTGTAAAAGGGCGTCCGTTTTTGGGTGAGACCTTCCCCATCGGCCATTTCCAAGTTAAATCGTGGTGGAGAGTCTGGAGACCTCAGCCTCGGTAGTCGGCACCCTGCGCGCTGCGCCACCTTGCGAAACATAAAGCAGCAGTCCTGACATCTACAGGCGTGACTTTTCATGAAAGCGCGGATGTGTTCGCGCTTATGCGAAAAAAATGCTTCCGAGTATGGTTGATAATGAGATTAATTGTTGTCATTTATTTATTAATTCATTGGCAAAAGTACCCTAATAAATCGGTAAAATAGCTTGAACTGTATCGTATTTCCTTGGGAAAAAATGACGAACTCATCCTAAGACATCCAGATTATTGGATGCGTTCGTCAGTTGTAAGTAGTTCAAGTTTTTGGGAAAATTTGCTTGTGGAAAATCATAATATTTCAAAGATATGCCTATTTTTGAATAATTTATGCATTCATCTGCATTGAAAAATGATTGTAAAGCAAAAGTGCAAAAGATAATTGTCAATTTATTTTCTCAAATCACAATTTACGAACGCACAAAACTCCAGCTTTTAATTTAGTGCGTGTGCGAATTGCGGTCAAGAAAAAATATTTAAATTGTCTATATTCCTCTTAAAACAATGAAGGATGAATGAGGAAAACGCTGTTTTGAACAATTGTATATTTATTTTTTCTTAATTAAGCAAAAGTACAAAATTTTCAACTTTTATTACATTTGCTCTCACAAAATCCATCACTTTTTAGCATGACGTCATGTCAGCCAAATTTACTAGCGCCATCTCTGGAGAGCATCTTTCGAAACCTCCAGACGATAGAGAGAGCCATAAATATGAGCTAGTAATTGACGGTCCACGCCGCAGGTCAATGTGGAATACTCCTCTCGCTTTGTAAAGCTAAAGTAGCATCTATTTTACGAAATTAGTTGCACTATTCATCTTCGCAGTGACGTCATTGAGGGAACTTCAGTGAGCCCCTGAAACATCCAACAAATGCCAACAATTGGTTCAATAAATTTCAGATTATGATGACCGAAGAACGATTGCTCCATGCAAAGACAAATGCAGATCATCGATAGAATTCGAGCCACAGGAATTATATCTGAATTGTTCGCTAGCCTATTCAGGGCTTCTACAATACACAAACAGACAGCGGCTAGTGACTCTAAATCACTTTTCAGTCATCAAAACTTAGCCATTCCATGCGTGGTTTCGTTCGATCGTTTCATCGGGCAGGCGAACGCCCGACAACAGCTCTAACTTCACCCCCCCCCCCCCTCCATAACCAGAGATATTAGCGGGAACTCTTTCGTTCATCTAGCCTGGCCGTCGTTAGGATGGAAGGAGGTGTCGCACTCAAACGGCAATGCTCGTGAGCCCGCCCGGCAGACTTACCGGTGGTGGGCCGGCGCCGCCCCACACATCATGCTCTTATCGCCCAGAGGACTGCCACGCGATGTGACTTTGCAGGGAACTTCGATCGTCCGACTTGTCCGTAATCCGTTTGGCTTCAGTTGAATCGCCAACTACTGTTGTTTAGACCATAGTCCTCGCCGAAGTTCACGCTTTGGCAATGAAGCCAACGGACGTGCTCCCCTGGGGTTTCGTCCGTGAGATGATCCGCTGGATCGTGAGCACCACAAGCACTAATCGGAGCTCAGAACCCATCGACATCAAAGCGAGGGACATCGCCGACACTGCCAAGTGATAAATAGAACTCTCCCTTCGGTTGGCTAGTGTTGCTGGAGGAAACCCCGAATGACAGACGGCACAATACCCTGTAGTGGAGGAGCATTGCATTAAAACTGACCGCAAAAGAAACATAATGTGGATGACAAGGTGACAAATGACGATGACAAGTCGATATTGCTAAGAAGTCAGCACCTTCGCTCTTGTAACCCACCCCAGTGCTCGAACACAATCACAGCTAACAGCGAAAGACCAAACAATGGACCCATGGAACATCACACATCTTAGTTGAATCACAATTGTATTGAAAGACGATTATCTGTCGCTTGGGACACTATCCACAACAAACGAATGACAACTCTTAACTGAACATAAAACAAAAACGAACTTCTTGAGTCACAGCACGAAATCACTTTACATGTTTACCCTGACATTGGGTCCCTCACCACTGTGACGTCACAGATCGGAGGTATAGCCAACGCACAGCGCGCGTCGATACAGCTCGGCAGGCCGCCTGGTGCATATCTCTCGGATTTGCTTAAACACTGCCCAGCTCAACAAGCTGTAGGCTAAACTTAGCCTGCTCGTTAACAACCAATTCTAGGGAGGAGTGTTCCTATTCACTTATATGAATGGTTAAGATGTTAAATGGGTGCACATTATCATTGGGCATCAAACAACTTACCTTCCTTGAGAGTTAATCAGTGTTTCAATTGGTTTGTTAATTTGCTTAATTCGGTGACGGACACACCGAAATCGATATCAATTTACCGCACATTTTGGCGTTCTAGAGCTCCATCGCGTGTCACTGAGGTGGAACGTGGGCTGCCAGTGGACCCTGCGCCGCCGTAGTTGGCAGTGAAACGACGGGGCGAGGCGCGGGGGAGGGGTAGGGGGGGGGGTTAGGGCGCCCCGACTGCCGTGGTCATCGATGAGGCGCCAGGCGGAGTGTCCCCCAGCAGCCGCACCGCACTGAGCACCGTGGCAGTGACACGTCTCCATCCGGCAACGTCAGCACAATAGGATGTTGAGCTCGCATCGGCGCCGACGGCCGAGACCCACCGCGCTCTGATCGTGACGTCACAGTGGCCCGACCCGGGCCTTACACCTACGAACGACGATCAGACTGCAAGCACAAGTTGCAGGCCTCCGGACTAGTCAAATAATCACTCAGATCTTTTCACTAACACCTCTCCGAGCAAAATGTCTACCGATAACAAAACTAAAACCTGATTCTGGATTTCGGGCCGAGCCGGGAGCGGGGCCGGATCGGCCGCCCCTGTCCGCTGTGTCCGCTGTGTCCGCGGGTGGAGGGCCGGACACGGTCACCCTGTCCGCGCCGGCTCCCCTGACCTGTTAGATGACCCGGTTGACTTTGACCCGACCCGGTCGGCCCCGGCCTACCTACGGACGGAGCCGCCATTTCGAGCGGCGGCAGCTAGCTGCGCCTGACCTCGACCCGGCGCGGCGGCGGCTAGCTGCGCCTGACCTCGACCCGGCGCGGCGGCGGCTAGCTGCGCCTAACCTCGACCACCAGGTGCCGGCCGCGGTACAGCCGGCCGTCCAGCTCCAGCACCGCCGAGTCTGCCACCATCGTGTTCCACACCGTCACGTACGCGTACGTGCTGCCGACAGGGGGGAAGGGGGGTCAGAGGCTGTGGGACACGTTCACGGGAGACAGGACAGGCTATGAGACGGTGAGCGGCTACCAGACACGGATGGGGAAGGGAAGAGCTGAGCGGCTGCGGGACGAAATGACAATGGGGGAGGGAAGGGGAGGGGAGGTCCTGAGCAGCTCTCAGAGACACACACTCGGCGGCTGGTAAACAAGGGATGGTCCCACGGCAAATGTGTGACAAAGGACATCCCAGTAATTATACCCGTTGAGTGGCAGTATCTGAGCTGTTTAGCCGCTGCTGCTGCGGTGCTTCATTTCATGACTCTGTAACAATATGTAAAACTGCGACACATCGCCGATCGGGCTGAGGAACTCGCCGTGCAGACTGTTGGTTGTTACCACCCACACTGTGGTTACCACAATACGTCCGAGTGCTGTCCGTTACACACAATGCTCCCAGCCGTTACTCACAATGCTCACAGCCGTTACTCACAATGCGCCCGGCTCCAGGCCGGGATCGTTGACCATGATGCGCACGCGGAGCGGCTTGTAGCGGCCGAAGAGGTCCATCAGCTCGAGGTCCGCCGAGTTGGCCGGGAAGTTGGCCACCAGCACGTCGACCGGCTGGTGCAGACGGTGGCGGATCATGTCCGAGTCGGCCGCCGACGCTGCGGGCCGGGAGAGCGAGACGCTGTCAGGAACACGCCTCTCGAGGTACGACAGACACCCACATCCAGCCTGACAGCTGACGGCAGGTCCTGCCGTTGTCTGTTGGCCGCAACGGGAAGACGCCGCCACTGTTCTAGCAGGCTAGAACTAGAGCTAGGCTAGAACACAGTTCTAGAACGCACCTGATGGCTGTCAAACACGCGTCGCATGCCCGACAGTCGACAGCGGAGACCTCAAATAACGCATAAAGCAACGGACAGAATAGGCATGACGATACGAGAGATGCTGCAAAAGTAAAGCATACGCATAGATTGGGCGAGTTATCAGAAAATCTGGGATGTAATCAAAACGACGACCGAGTAGATGCCGGTAATAACTCATTAAAAAAAACGAATATGACACTTCAAAAAAACTCTGTTGCATTGGTCGTTTAGGCAGCTGAAATGACTCGTATCGCACAGGACCCCTGAAAGCAGTCTTTTACTCACAATGATCAGTGTTCCCCACCGGAGGTGTGTCCGCTGTACTGTGTGTCCGTGTGACACCCATCGGAGGTGTGGATCTCGTGTGTCTGTGTCCGCTGTGTGTGTGTCCGTGTGACAACCACCGGAGGTGTGCATCTCGTGTGTCTGTGTCAGTGTGCCTATTCTGTGTAAGTGTCATCCACCGGAGGTGTGGGTCCGTGCGTCTGTGTCTCTGTGTCTATTGATCTGTGTGTCTGGATCTACCGGGTAGCCCCCCCCCAAAAAAAAACGTTCCGAACTTTGGAGGCCTATATCTCAAATTCGAGTGCAAATAACGAGCCAAAATTTTCATCAAGTTTGCGTCACTTCTTTGCGCATTGGTATGCCAAATTATAACACTGTACCATCATTTTCAAGCCAGCAATCTTATGTTGAATTAAGTAAGACGTTTTTGCTTTTTTGCCGTTGTTGAACGGTAGTAATGATTGGCTTAGACGTACCATGTTAGAATAAAAATAGAAATTAGAACACGTGAATGATACCAGCACGTGTGCTGTTATTTTAAATATTTTTGTCCCACTTATGTGCCAAATATTCAAATGCTAAGCCAAAATTGCTTTAATGGATGTCATTCGTTTCAACACAAGTCCTGTTTCGAAGAGAAGGAGCGGCACGGTGTATGGGCTACTGCTGATCGCCCTCCCTTCAAGAATATCAAATAGTAAATCGACCGAAAAAGGAAAAAAGCGAGAGGGAATGTGTCACCCCGAGGCCTGAACCATCAATGAGGCTAGTTTGCCAGTAGCAGTCATGGCTGCAGGCCGTGGTGCCGAGATGGAAGTGGCCCGTTCACTCACATTTTTAGTAAACATCTGAGCAAAAAAGTGGTTTTTACATGACATGCTAGAAACACGAACCGTTTAAAAAGTAATCGACCGAATAACATAAAAATCATACCATTTGCTGAAAATATATGCCGCATTGACTATTGGAAGTTTCAATGTTGTATCTTTATCACTTTCTGAGAAATATTGATTTAAAATTGGGAACGTTTTTTTTTGGGCCACCCGCTATGCGTCACCCGACGGAGGTTTGTCTGTTGGCCTCTGTATCTGGATCTATGTATCACATACCGGAGGTGCGGGTCTGCGTGCCACCCATCGGAGGTGTGTGTCTGTGGATCTGTGTGTAACCCACCGGAGGTGTGCGTGACCGTGTGTCTGTGTCTGTGTGGGTCTGTGTGTCTCTGTGTGTCTGTGCGTCACCCACCGGAGGTGTGTGTGGCGCGTCTGTGTCTGTGTCTGTGTGGATCTATGTGTAACCCACCGGAGGTGTGCATGGCCGTGTGTCTGTGTCTGTGTCTATTGGTCTGTGCGTACTGTGTCACCCACCGGAGGTGTGTGTGGCCGAGCTGCGCGCCGACTGCGGGCCGCCGCTGCTGCTGTCCGGCGTCTGTGTCTCTGTGTCTGTGTGGGTCTGTGTGTCTCTGTGGTGGGTCTATGTGTAACCCACCGGAGGTGTGCGTGGCAGTGCGTCTGTGTCTCAGTGTGTCTGTGTCTGTGTCTGTGTGTCTTTGTGGTGGGTCTGTGTGTCACCCACCGGAGGTATTAGTGGCCGAGCTGCGCGCCGACTGCGGGCCGCCGCTGCTGCTGTCGGGCGTCTGGTCGTGCGGCGCGGAGTCGACGCTGCCGTCGGGCCGGTCCGCCCGCCAGCCGCCCTCCCTGGTGCACGCGCGCTTCGGACGCAGCGGCGCCCCGTACAGGTCCTCGTCCCTGGACGCAGAGAGGTAGGGGTCAGCTAACAGGGAGCACCTCAGGTACCGGCGAGACCAGACCAGAGGGGAGCACAGAGAAAACAAAACGGCAAAACAGTCACTAGCCGCCCACAAACATAAAACGGCTGAAACACAATTACAATTTTTGCTGACGAAGTAAATAAATTCTGTTCTCGATAACATCAAACGATTAGTGCATTTTCGCACCACATATTCGATAGCACATTGGTGTAACTATACGTGCAATAGGTTAGCAGCGCGCCACCGACCCCGCATCCGCCCTGCAGTTCTCTGCACCCGCCCGCTGCCCTGAGCGCCGGCCCGTGCACCCGCCCGCTGCCCTGAGCGCCGGCCCGTGCACCCACCCGCAGTGCCCTGTGCAGTGTGTGTCGGCCAGTGCACCGCCCGGTGGGCCGGCCAGTCATGTGGCTGTGCCTGTCCAGCGCTGCGCGGCGGCTCACCTGTCGCTGAACTGCCGGCGCACCTCCTGTTCCGGAAGCGGCAGCACCAGCGGAGGGATACTCAAGCACCGCTTCCTGGGCCGCGGCGAGCTCGGCGGCGACTTGAACTCTGTCGACTCGCACTCGTACTGGTCCCCCTCCCCGCCGTCTGGCGAACGGTCAGAGCCCAGAGGTCAGAGATGAGAGGTAAAAGGTCAGGTTACAGTCGTACTGGTCCCCCTCCCCGCTGTCTGGAGAACACGGCAAGTCAGAGGTTACAGTCGTACTGGTCCCCCTCCTGGAGGGGTACTGCTCTGGAGAACACGGCATGTCAAAGATGAGAGGTAAAAGGTCAGTTTACACTCGTACTGTTCCCCCTCCCCGCCGTCTGGCCAACACGGCAGAGGTCAGAGATGAGAGGCGAAAGGTCAGGTTACTGATACTCCTCCCCACCCCTTAATAGTCTGATGTCCCCTCTCCCCCTCCCCACCCCACCGGCCGGCACTCACCGATCTCGGCCAGGCAGTCCCCACCCCCACCCCCTCCTCTGGCGGCAGCGGCACCGATTCTGCCCGGCAGTCCCCTCTCCCTGCAGCACTCACCGAGCTCGGGCCGCGATCGGCGGCTGCCCCGGCTGGTGCCACTGACTCCTCCCCCCGGCTGGCGGCACTTACCGAGCTCGGGCCGCGGCCGGCGGTTGCCCCGGCTTGTTGCCCGGCAGTCCCCTCGCCCTCTCCCTCCTCACTTACCGAGCTCGGGCCGCGGCCGGCGGCTGCCCCGGCTGCGACACACCACGATCTGGTGACCCAGCACCTTGCCGCCGTGCAGCTGGTCGATGGCACGCGCCACGTCCTCGGCGCACGCCAGCTCCACGAACGCGTAACTTCTGCGGGCGAGCCGGCCAGACAGACACCTCAGGTACGGAGAGAGGCCAGCTCGGGGCACCTCAGATACGGAGAAAGGCCGGTCACGGACACCTCAGACCCGCGGATAGGCCGGTCAGGGGACAGCTCAGATCGTCCGCAACGACAATGAAATGTATTACCAAAAGGGTCGCTGGACTTCATAAGAACAATCAGATGTGCTTCAATAGCCCGAGTATTTCATTCACGCACAAGTGACGCCCACTGTCACGTTGTGAGGGTGGTTGACTCACTCGAACATGTGTTTGCGGTGCAGGTGGATGTGTTTCGGGTAGATGCTGTACTTGTGGAAGAGCGCGGCGATCTCCAGCTCGTGCAGCTGCTCGGGCCAGTTGCCCAGGTAGACCTCGTGCGGTCCGCCGCCGGCCAGCGACAGCTCCAGCGCGCCGGCGCCGGCGCCGTCCTCTCCCGGCGGCGGGGCGCGCACCGGCGAGTGGCGCAGCAGTGGCGAGACGCCGATCCGGCGCGCGCCGCCCAGCCGACCGCGCACCCCCGTCTGCAGCCGCCGAGAGGCGTGCATGTCTCCGAGTGGAGCGGCGGCTGCGCGCAGCACCGGGGACATCGTCAGACAGTACCAGACACACCACCGTCACACAGTACAGTACCTACCTGATACAGGCACACACGACTGGGGGAACCGTGGCACGGCCCCCAGACGAGACCAATAAGGAGTATGGAAGAAAAGAAACATAGTTTGTACAGCTTGTGGAGGTTAGGAAGTGGAAGGCAAAGGGAAAAAGAGCTCAATACTAGTAATGCACCCCTAACCAATTCATAGCGCGTAAGTTGAAGTTTAAAAAGAAAAGGAGGAGCCGTTGCAAAGGCAATGCCTCAAACCAGCCGAGTCCAAGTCCAAGGACACACAGTACCGGGCGGGAGCAAGACCTCTACCAATATTGTCAATCGCAGTCTGGCGGCCGAGCAAGGCGGTGTCTGCCTAGTCATATCTGACCGTGACACATCAAAGAGTGGGGGAGGGAGGACTTTTCACGCCGGTTCTAATAGTAACACATCGGCACCTGGACAACATATCGGCACCTGGACAACATATCGGCACGCGGTAAGTGGCGTTCAAAAGAGCGTTAAAAAGTGTAGAAAAGCATGGTAGTAGTAGATTTTCATATCAGGTTAGGCCACGCCCCGTGATACAACACATTTCTTAGAAAACCTATAAACTGTCGAAAATGCGACCTTTGACCTGCCCTGTGACGTCATCGGTTGCAAGTGGGTCAACGAAAGCTGGCAGAAAGCATGTTGGCAAAATCCGGCAAGAACTGGCTAAAACTTAAGTGTTTAAAGGTAGTGTGCCAGCTTTCTTGGACCGTATGGAGTTAATGGCCCAGATAAGGAGAACCGGATTTTTAGAACTTATCCATACCTTCAAAACTCATGGAAACGTCTTAAATTCTTCAAATTTTGAGTACCCCAGTGCGAAATTCGCCCCGACGGGTTGTCGGTCGTACCCCAACCACATTTCACACCACTATGAACAATAAATGCACACACTGAAATCGCTATTACCGATATGCTCATCCAATCAAGTTTCGATAAACCCGTTCATCATCATCTCCTGCGGTTTCGAACACGCCTGTTAGGTGGCTTCTGATGCTCGTCGAGGTCGGAATTTCCAAATACGCGTGGTGCGTCGGGCCGCGCGCTCTGACTTCGGCCAATAAAAATGCGTCAGCTGATCATTGTCATTTCTGCCACTTGCGTGTGGTGAAATGGGGTCATAACTTATAAGACGGCTTTTTTCATATCAATTATTTTACATAAAATCATATTTCAAACCATAAATAATGTTCGACAGCCAAATAAAAGAAAGAATACCAATACAGTCTTACAGTTTAAGGCTCGACATTGTGTTGTCTACGATTAGACAGCTGATAACTCATTCCCGTACGTCGTATGGTCGTAACACTATAATGACCTTTGCTTATTGTCACAAGTGCGCCGCATTCGCGCTTGTTGCCCGACGCCTGTTTGCAGGTGAGCCCACTACAGTTGTTATACATATCTAAAAACCGATAAACTTTTTGGCGAAAAAGGCACTATTCCAGGCCCATTTTTGATTTTTTTTGCGATATTAGGTAAAAACAGAAGCTTCTTATCCTAGGAAAAATAAAATGGGAAATCTTTCAAAGGTGGCACACTACCTTTAACTTTGCTTTTCTAGACAACAACTGATTGAACTGGAGGAAGAAACCAATATGTAGCATGTGACGAGAGGAAGCCGATAATATCCAATTTTAGGATTCAATGTTTGCTTTCCAGGTCAGGTCAGTGACCCAAAAATCGGGAAATCACGACCTGCTAAAACTTCTCAAAGAGAGCTAATTGTCATGGTGTTTTCTGAGGTACTGCTTTCGAATTTGGTATTTTTTATTAAAATGATGATGTATTTATCCATTTGGGGTAGGTAATCAGATCAACCAAAGGGCCCCGCGGACGATCCATAGCTAGGCGTAAGCCGCCACTGACAGATTCGTGTCATGGTACACATGCACCAAACCAGTAGTATACTACTCAAATGTTCAAATAAGTAGCAAATTCGGAAGCAGCTCTTAAAACTCAACAACAAACCATTAAAATCGTAATACTCGAAAGCCATCTGAGGTCACAAAAGGCCAATCGGGGCGTTCCACGACAAATCGACAAATAAAAAATTAAATTTGCACCCTCATATTTTATTCTTCGTTGAAAACTGGTGTAAGGGGTTGTGATGGGCGGGGAAGCCAGCTGTGGCAAGGATTTTTTTCTTCGAACAACGGTTTCCGAGATATAGCCTCGGGCAATTACTGGAGTTCGCGCTGCAGCCCTATGTTTGGCGGCCTATAACTCAGAAACTATTGTTTTTTTACGATAAAAACTTTATATGGTTCAACACACAATCAATCAACAAACATTTTGGCTAACTCGGATTTTCAATTTTTGAAAATTTTGATCACGTGACCTTTTGTCCTATTTTTCGAAGAGTGACCTTGATATTTTCCCCACTGAAAGTTGCAATTTTGTCTGATGACGATTAAAGCCTTATCAATTGTCATTCATATGCGATAATAAAAAAGTGGTTATCGCCCTGCGTTGACCTCAGGTCAGGTCATTTTTATGACCTGTCCATTATTAGGAGCGGGAGCGACAGCGAGATCTCGAGAATAAAGCAAGATAGCGACAAGCGATAAACGGTAAAGGGTACACACGGATAAGGTCTATAATTTTTACTGAGGTCATTTTCAGGTCAGGTCAAAGATGACGTCACAGGAGCTAAGAGGAAGTCAAAATAGCGGCACTATACATATATATGAAGTTTTTCTCGAATAACTTTCAAGGTATCCCAGCTAGGAACAAACTAATAGCACCATCGTGATCCTCTCGTCGATCCGCATCTAAACATATGTATGTTGACCTCGAAATGTCGAAAGGTCAAAAGTTGACCCTAGGTCACGTGATCTAAGGTCAACTTTTGACCTTTCGATCTTTCGAGGTCAACATACATATGTTTCGATGCGGATCGACGAGAGGATCACGATGGTGCTATTAGTTTGTTCCTAGGTGGGATACCTTGAAAGTTATTCGAGAAAAACTTCATATATATGTATAGTGCCGCTATTTTGACTTCCTTTTAGCTCCTGTGACGTCATCTTTGACCTGCCCTGAAAATGACCTCAGTAAAAATTATAGACCTTATCCGTGTGTACCCTTTACCGTTTACCGCTTGTCGCTATCTTGCTTTATTCTCGAGATCTCGCTGTCGCTCCCGCTCGTAATAATGGACAGGTCATAAAAATGACCTGACCTGAGGTCAACGCAGGGCGATAACCACTTTTTTTACTATCGCATATGAATGACAATTGATAAGGCTTTAATCGTCATCAGACAAAATTGCAACTTTCAGTGGGGAAAATATCAAGGTCACTCTTCGAAAAATGGGACAAAAGGTCACGTGATCAAAATTTTCAAAAATTGAAAATCCGAGATAGCCAAAATGTTTGTTGGTTGATTGTGAGTTGAACCATTTCAAGTTTTTATCGTAAAAAAACAATAGTTTCTGAGTTATAGGCCGCCAAACATAGGGCTGCAGCGCGAACTCCAGGAATTGCCCGATGCTATATCTCGGAAACCGTTGTTCGAAGAAAAAAATCCTTGCCACAGCTGGCTTCTCCGCCCATCACAACCCATTAGACCAATTTTAAGCAAAAAATAAAATATGAGGGTGCAGGGCACTTGTCGATTTGTCGTGGAACGCCCCAATAGTCTTAATCGGACCTCCAAGTGATCTTGATGCCCCTATAATGCATTGGACCATAATCATTGCACATGTTGGCACGTTTCTAAAGCCTAACAGTCTGAGAACGCACAGCCGATATACGCCGAATCGCGTTTCCGGCCAGATGTGGTTTCAGGAAACAGGTCATTTGATCAAAGGTCATTTGGGTCAAGGTCTGAAATTTTCAGAGTGTGTAAAATTTATGTACCCAAGGCTCTGAACGTTTCATCGCTGTCGACCACTTTTTACGCGAACTGTTCGCGTAAAAAGCGTGAAGGTCAAGATTTGGAGCACTCTTGAATGATCAATGATCAACATTTCTGTTTGAAAGGCAAAACATATAGTTTCCACTGAAACCTCCTCAAAATGTTTCCTGTTCAAATACACGCCTAGGCATAACGTAATGATACTTTCAGTGTTCTGCTACTTTTTGCTGGCTTAGGTAAACCAGTTTTAACCGGCAAATAGCGAACACTACTTTTCGCCGGTAAAAATGCCAAGCCTGATACACATACAAGTAAACGTGACACACTGAACTGGAAAATTGCACCAATGACCCCTTTTAAGCCCCTGAGGTCATCTCAGCTCATGAAACATCAACAGTTTTTTTCAATAGCTTTAACCCTCGCCCGGCCGGTGCTCCGCGACTTCCGCGCCAGGCCGGGGGGGGGGGGGGTCTGAACACCCCATCCCCTTCTAACTCGGCTCCTGGGCCACGTAGCGACACGCGGTAAGCGGCAATCGAAAGAACGTCCAAAATAAGGACGAACACACCTCAGTCATTTTTTTGAGTCAGGTCGAAGTTCAGGACACCACAGGTCACCAAAGGTAAAATGTTGTCTAACTATTTCAACATTTTGGAAACTGCCCACGGCTAACTCGTGAACCGATAGAGCTACAGCGCCGCAGAAAAGCACATTCGATAGCTCTTTTAACGCTCTTTCGCTAGCATGTCCTCAAATTTGACCTCAGGTCAACGGTTTAACCTCCAGAAGGCAAAAACTCCAAAAATAGCCGAAAAAAAAATAAAAATAAAAATAGCTGATAACTTAACCCGCGCCCCGTAGGGGGGCCGAAACGCCCCCCCCCCCCCCCTGTCCTTTTCCGTCAATATCTCCTAAACGGCCGGAGATATCGCCACCAAACTTTCAGGACCCCTCCGGGCATCAATTTTACACATTGTGACCAATTTTTTTTCAGAGGCTATGATAGGTTGGCCACAAATGACGTCAGAATGACGTCATGTTCTGCCATTTTCGACCGAAAAAAAGACCTTCCGGAGAAGAGCTGTCAGGACTACAGCTTTGAAGATACCGAAAAATGGTCTAGAAATAAAAGGTGTGGAATTGACAGGGCTACAAAACTGCTATCTCGGATTTTTGAAATTTTCGACTTTTGACTCAATTTTTTTTTTTGGCAATTCTAGACCACGTAGGGCAAAACAAAGACCACCATTGGACTCCCCGTGACGAGCTGCATCGAATCGATACCCATTTTATGGAAGAATATCAACTTTGAAATTTGACCTAATTTGACCTGACCTTGACCTGACCTTCACCAAAACGTGACCTAAGCTGGCCCCAAAGGCTGCCTGACCCACATAATCGCATTTGGCATCTAAAATGGACCATAAAACATGTATCACACGACACTTTCATATTGTGACCCCCAGTGACCTGACCTCTGTGACCTGACCTGGTATCAGTGACCTCAGATAGCGAAGTATGTGTTTGACGAACAATGTACCATCGATAGTTTTCAATAACTTAGCAATTTACTCGATTTCACAACACATTTCTTGAAATGCCTGTTAACGGTGAAAATCCGACTTTTGACCTGACCTGTGACGTCATCGGTTTGACCTAGGTCAATGAAATTTGGTCACAAGGTAGTTCCCCGGTGGGGATATCGAACGCCGTTTGAATTTTGAAAATCGGCCGGTAAATTTCAGAGATCTTAGGGGGGTAGGGTCCGCCGGTAGCCCTACGGGGCGCGGGTTAACCCTTGCCCGTAGGGTGTTTTTCGGCAATAGCTTTTCACTCGAAAGAGCAGCGACATTACTTTTGCCAGCATCGTGTTCCTCTCGTCAAGCCGCGTCGAATGAAGTATAAGTTGACCTTAAAAGGTCAACTTGAAAATTTGACCTCAGGTCAAGGTGACCTGACCGGAAAATGTCATGTTGCATGTCAGTCGGTCCGCATCGTCGAGTCAAACACATCTAAGGCGTTTTCATCGCTCTAGCATGCCTCTATCATAAGTTATTGGCGAAAATGTGTTAGATACTATTCGTGATCTGAGATTACCTCGGGGACATAACGAGGGGTCACAGGTGCCATTTTCCAATTCAGAGTGTCCATTTTACCTGCATACCGATTTTTTTCGTGTGTCTTGAATGGCGTTCGTGCAAAAGAGACGCTTTTCAATTTTCTCCCATTGAAGGAGAGGCCGCAAAATTGACCTGACCTTAGGTCACCTATATCAAAATTCCGAGATATACGTTTTATAGATACTGGTACTCTTAAAAATCACTGAAAGTTTCAAGGCAATCGTTCAGTCGGTGTAGCTATGACGAGCATTCTATTTTTTTTCTGAGGTGAGGTCACTTGGAGCGACCTGGTGACCTGACCTTGAGCGACCTGGGTCTGAAATTTTCACAACATGTGCGGAAAATATGCACAACAGGTGTGCCGAAAACGACGTCGCGTTGAGATATCTGCGAAAAACCGCAGGGGGGGGGGTGTGTTCAAAACACCCCCTGGCCCGGCGCGGGTTAAATAGAAGCATGCTAGAACACTGAAAACACCATGGATGCGATCAGCTTAACGATATGAACCCACCGACATGCAAGATGGCCCTTTCTGCGACCTTGACCTGATGTAAAATTTTTAAAGTCGATTTTTTTTTTGGCCAACTTAGTATAGTCCATTCGATGCGTCTAGAAAACACAAGCGCGATACTGGTAAAATCAACGTAATACAAGCTTGATGTCAAAAGTTATTACGGAAAAACTTTTTCCGCAAAAAGGTCAAACTTTGACAGTTACTGATCTTGGGAGACTAAACCGTTGACCCTAGGTCAAATCTGATAATTTATATCTCGCCTGTATAGGGGGTGGGGGGGGGGGGAGGGTCGAACGGACCCCCTCGGCTTTTCGCGAATAACTTGCGTAAAAAGCGGGCCATCGCGACGAAACTTTCAGTACCCACGCGTTAATCTATTTTACACAAACTCTGAAAATTTCATGGCCCTCACCTAAATGACCTTTGACCTTTGACTTCTTTTCGAGACCATGTTTGGCCGGAATCGCGATTCAGCGTATGTCGGCTTGCATTAGCCACGCGTTTGCAGTCTTTTCGTGGTTTCAAGCGTTCAATCATGTGGATGTTGTTCCCATGCATTAGGGTGGGTGTCAAGGTCTCCTGAAGGTCAGATCAGGTCAATAACCTTTGGTGACCTCAGTTTACTTTTTCGAGTTTTACATGTTTCTAGGCTAGTTTTTGGAGCTGAATTCGAATTTATCAAACATTCGAACATTTACGAAGTAGGTTTGGTGCCTTCGTAACATGTTACGAAGCTGTCAGAGGCGGTTGACATCTACTACGAACACCCGGCAGGGCTCCTACTGGTTGACCTGACCTGACCCGACATGGCCTAAATGCTCCGTGGCCTAAATGGCCTTAAGACATCCGTGATCAAAACTAACATGATATTCGTGATCAGCACCCAGAAAAACCCCATTGCAGCCACACTTTACAACGTTCTAACAGGTCCCAATTTCCCCGATTTTTGGGTCATTGACCTGACCTGGAAGGTCAACCAATGACCTACGACCTTAAAATTAGGTATCATCGGCTTCCTCTCGTCACGGGCAACACGCTCGTTTTTACCGCAAAGCTCTAGCTCGATCAGCGGCGAAACGACAGGGGGGACCTTATACGTTCGCAGCTGGCCTAACACCAATAAGGGCGAGGGTTAACTGAGAAAGGGCTTTGAAATGCGCTTTTCCACGGCGCTGTAGCTCTATTGGTTCCCGAGTTATGTGCGGAGTTGTGAAAACCAGGGGTGCGGAGCCGGAGCTGGAGCCGCCGGAGCCGGCATATTTTGCCCAGAGCCGGAGCCGTGAAACAAGGTATTCAAAATGTGAAAATAGCCTTGTTATGCAAATAAAGAATCAACGTGCACCAATCCCAACGTCTTTTTCTTCCACCCGTACTTAATTGCATAGGGATGCATTGAGTATTAGAGCCGGAGCCCGACCATTTTACTCGGAGCCGGAGCCGGTGCCGCGGAGCGCCATGGCATTTCACCCGCCACCCGGAGCCATAGCCGATTTTTTCCCCGGAGCCGGAGCCGTCTGATCCGGCCGTCTGAAATTTCCACGGCTCCGCAGCCCTGTCGAAGTCGGGAACAAAAATTTATAATAATTTTACTCTTGGCGAACTCCAGTGACCTCAGCAATGACCTGATTGGAAAATGACCAGGATGTTTTTGAAAGATCTTATTGCAAGCTATTAGGGTATTAGTATATATTAGGTCCGAGTGGACAATTGTGACGCTGTTGATACAAATATGTAACAGCAAAAAAATTAGGTTTTAGGTTAGGTTAGGTTGTAGGTTTGTAGGTTTTAGGTTGGTAGGTTAGGTTAGGTTAGGTTGTAGGTTTATAGGTTGTAGGATGGTAGGTTGTAGGTAAATAGGTAAGGTTAGGTCAGGTTTGATTATGTTTTTTCTTTTATTTCCAGGACATATAAGGATCATTTTTGGATTCAGGATGTCAAATAATGTAAGAATATGAAACTTTATTTTATAACAGCCACTCGGACTCAATGTATACTTTTACCAACACCAGAAATTGGTAAAATAAACTTTCTTAGTGCTTCCTAGTAACCAAGGCTATACCAACCTTCCAGTCTAACCTTCCTAGTAAGTAAGTAAGTGCTTCCTATAAGCCAAGGCCACGTCACTAATCAAAGGCAGTTTTGAATTTTCGGCTTATATATGTTTCGCACTATGGCCTATATATGAAACAAAAAATATTCAAATAACGCCACACACGCTTCATGTAAGCAACGACCATGGCAACCTATAGCGCCTATAGCAACGCGACGGCAACGACCGATTTGCAAACGCACCGCGAACGAAAGCAATTTGGTAGCCCGGCATCGACGTCCGATTGGCGTATATTCGAATGCAGTATTAGTAGAGCATGGGTCCCGAAAAATTCTTCAGAAACTAGAGAAATTCTCGCGGGGCAAGACGACTGTCAAACTAGCAGCGAGCAGCGAGCGGCGAGTCTAGCAGCGAGAAACGGGCCATCCCGATTTAGCTGAAAATTTGCTCACAGAGCCTTCTCAGCACGCTGATTCCGAAAATCATGGTCTCTAGGGTAGGAATCTTTACCGTTCTCGAGATAGAACCCTCTAAAGTTTTCGACACCCATGACCGGGCCATCCCGATTTGGCTGAAAATTGGCTCACAGCCCTAACAGAGCCTTCTCAGCACGCTGATTCCGAAAATCATGGTCTCTAGGGTGGGAATCTTTACCGTTCTCGAGATAGAACCCTCTAAAGCTCTTACCACCCATGACCGGGCCATCCCGATTTGGCTGAAAATTTGCTCACAGGTCCTGCTCAGTTCTCAGCACGCTGATTCCGAAAATCATGGTCTCTAGGGTGCCGGAATCTTAACCGTTCTCGAGATAGAAACCTCTAAAATTTTCGACACCCATGAACGGGCCATCCTGATTTGGCTGAAAACTGGCTCACAGAGCCTTCTCAGCACGCTGATTCCGAAAATCATGGTCTCTAGGGTGGGAATCTTTACCGTTCTCGAGATAGAACCCTCTAAAATTCTTACCACTCATGACCGGGCCATCCCGATTTGGCTGAAAATTTGCTCATAGAGCCTTCTCAGCACGCTGATTCCGAAAATCATGGTCTCTAGGGTTAAAATCTTCACCGTTCTCGAGATAGAACGCTCTTAAGTTTTCGACACCAAAGACCGGGCCATTCCGATTTGGTTGAAAATTTTCTCGCAGAGCCTTCTCAGCACGCTGCGGCTGATTCCGAAAATCATGGTCTGTCAAATCGACCGGGCCATCCCAGTCAAATCGGGATGGCCCGGTCACGGGTGGTAAGAGCTTTAAAGGGTTCTATCTCGAGAACGGTGAAGATTCCCACCCTAGAGACCATGATTTTCGGAATCAGCGTGCTGAGAAGGCTCTGTGAGCAAATTTTCAGCCAAATCGGGATGGCCTGGTCATGGGTGGTAAGAACTTTAGAGGGTTCTATTTCGAGAACGGTAAAGATTTCCACCCTAGAGACCACGATTTTCGGAATCAGCGTGCTGAGAAGGCTCTGTGAGCCAATTTTCAGCCAAATCGGGATGGCCCGGTCATGGGTGTCGAAAATTTTAGAGGTTTCTATCTCGAGAACGGTTAAGATTCCCACCCTAGAGACCATGATTTTCGGAATCAGCGTGCTGAGAAGGCTCTGTGAGCCAATTTTTAGCCAAATCGGGATGGCCCAGTCATGGGTGGTAAGAGCTTTAGAGGGTTCTATCTCGAGAACGGTAAAGATTCCCACCCTAGGGACCATGATATTCGGAATCAGCGTGCTGAGAAGGCTCTGTGAGCAAATTTTCAGACAAATCGGGATGGCCCGGTCTTTGGTGTCGAAAACTTTAGAGGGTTCTATCTCGAGAACGGTAAAGATTCCCACCCTAGAGACCATGGTTTTCGGAATCAGCGTGCTGAGAAGGCTCTGTGAGCAAATTTTCAGCCAAATCGGGATGGCCCGGTCATGGGTAGTAAGAATTTTAGAGTGTTCTATTTCGAGAACGGTAAAGATTCCCACCCTAGAGACCACGATTTTCGGAATCAGCGTGCTGAGAAGGCTCTGTGAGCCAATTTTCAGCCAAATCGGGATGGCCCGGTCATGGGTGTCGAAAATTTCAGAGGTTTCTATTTTGAGAACGGTTAAGATTCCCACCCTAGAGACCATGATTTTCGGAATCAGCGTGCTGAGAACTGAGCAGGACCTGTGAGAAATTTTCAGCGAAATCGGGATGGCCCGGTCATGCGTGGTAGGAAATTTAGAGGGTTCTATCTCGAGAACGGTAAAGATTCTCACCCTAGAGACCATGATTTTCGGAATCAGCTTGCTGAGAAGGCTCTGTGAGCCAATTTTCAGTCAAATCGGGATGGCCCGGTCTTTGGTGCCGAAAACTTTAGAGGGTTCTATCTCGAGAACGGTAAAGATTCCCACACTAGAGACCATGATTTTCGGAATCAGCGTGCTGAGAAGGCTCTGTGAGCCAATTTTTAGCCAAATCGGGATGGCCCGGTCATGGGTGGTACGAGCTTTAGAGGGTTCTATCTCGAGAACGGTAAAGATTCTCACCCTAGAGACCATGATTTTCGGAATCAGCGTGCTGAGAAGGCTCTGTGAGCAAATTTTCAGCCAAATCGGGATGGCCCGGTCATGGGTGGTAAGAACTATAGAGGGTTCTATCTCGAGAACGGTAAAGATTCCCACTCTAGAGACCATGATTTTCGGAGTCAGCGTGCTGAGAAGGCTCTGTGAGCCAATTTTCAGCCAAATCGGGATGGCCCGGTCATGGGTGTCGAAAAGTTTAGAGGGTTCTATCTCGAGAACGGTAAAGATTCCCACCCTAGAGACCATGATTTTCGGAATCAGCGTGCTGAGAAGGCGCTGTGAGCAAATTTTCAGCTAAATCGGGATGGCCCGTTTCTCGCTGCTGGACTCGCTGCTCGCTGCTCGCTGCTAGTTTGACAGACGTCCTGCCCCGCGAGAATTTCTCTAGTTTCTGAAGAATTTTTCGGGACCCATGCTCTACTCATACTGCATGCGAATATACGCGTCCGATTGAAGTATTTTTCCACGCGGCGATAAGCATCACTGAAATCCCTTCAAATTATCATTTAGAGTTTTCAGTTTAGTTTAGATTACCTGTAAGAATCTTGGTTTGGATATGTTTTTATCAACAGAAATTCGACTGATTTTTCACTACGATATTTATGCCTCGATCTTTAATTAATAATACACTTAAAGGGACCCTCCCACCTTAACATTAGATTTGAGTTGAGATAGCCAAAATGGGGTCCCTGGCTCACAATTACCGGTTTTGGCACTCACAACATCGAGAAATGCCTTAAATCGGAAATATTGAATTTCAAAATTGCAGCATTTTGATTCAGAGGGGCTAATGCTTAGGAATACCCCTCTGAATGTGTGACGTCAGCGCAGATATCTAACGATTTTTAAATGTTTGACTAAAACGTTTTGTAGCACGCGGTGGCATATGCTATTTGCGCGCAACATCTGCCGCAAACGCCGCACTTCTAAAATAAAGTCGCTAGAAACAGCGGAGATCCCAAAAAGTAAACAAAAGTAAAAGTCTAATATCTTGAAAACCGGTGAATATTTTTCGGTGAAATTTGGTAGATATTCGTTTTCGCTCTTTCTGAACCGAGCGACATCACTTTCATGCCAATTCATAAACTTTTTTGAAGGTGGGAGGGTCCCTTTAAATAAAAGTATTCAGTATTTTTTTGCGACGTCAAATATGGCTGCACTAGGTATATCAAAAAGCTAAAATAGGGTTCATCTTGCATTTACGTGACCTTGATTGAAATCGTGTGGATCCGTGTGATTTTTTTTTGCGGTGATCTTTGCGGAGATCGCGGAGATCCAGGATCCTGGATGGAGATTTTCCAAAACGTGGAGTGATCGGCATTTCGCACCGTTCGTCTGCAATTGAAGGATTACAAGAGTGGGTTTACGATTTATCACTGAAGGCTGATGACAGTGGTCAGTTGTGTAAGGTAGCTATGCATATTGATATTACTTGCAGCACTCATCATCATCGTAAGGCATAGGATCCTGGATCCTATGCCTATTGCTTGCACTCATCATAATGAAAACATAAATGGGGTCATGCAGTGATAGAATCACTGTCTGAAATTTCAAAGCTCATTGAAATGGTTTAATTATGATACAGTTGATGAGCATGCATGCTCATCCGAAGCATTTTCATTTCTTCTGTAGAATACCCATTTGGGAGGTTCTAGTATTTCCTTGTGTACCTGGCCCCTGGGTACTTACAAAGAATAAGATTTGGATAAGCTAGTCATAGTGCCCAAACCATAGGCCTTAGAGGCTTAGAAATCTTTTCAATAAGCCCCTCACCCTTGTGCATTTCAATTTAGTGAAAGATCACCCTGTTACAATGTTTGATGTTCAAGCTGTTGTTTTTTTTTAAATATAGGTATGGGAACTGCACTTCAACTTGTGCATGCCTGGTTGATTTTATGCCTTATGGCCTGACAGAAGAATTTGTATGATGATAGAGTAGGTGGCTGTTGAACAATAGCTTTAGAACCCGACTGGAAAAAATGCACGCTTTCGTCGAGAACTCGAGCGTTGTTGGGCGTTTGCGCCGAAAATTTTCGGCGTACTTCGGCGTAAATCGACGGCTTGCGCCGAAATTTTCGGCGTACTTCGGCGTAAATCGCGAAAAAAAACGTCCGGGGGGTGGCACCAATCCCCCCTCGGCCGGCGAGGGTTAAATGTCTTCGGGAGTTAAACATCTTAAATATCACTTATCTTGTCCCGTGTTCGTCTCAGGGTATTTAAGTCATGTTTAGTGAACCTGATTGCGACTCTCCCACGGCAGGAACAGTTCACCGATCCAGAGTGAGGTTATGGATTGTCGGATCCCCTAGTTCAGATAACGTATGCTATCGTGTGCGTATTGACCGTTGTGATTCCTGTATTTCCGGCGTGTGGTTTGTGAGCGGACGCTGGCAATCGGTCCCGCGTGACCTGGTATCTGCCCGATCCCATCGGCCGTGCTTGCACCACGCCTGTTGAAGGCCCTGTCAGGCGTCAGTCACCGGCTGGGCACTACTGCTGATCAGAGCCGGGCAACAAAATAAAGGTTACGTTATGGAACATGCCAGTGAGTTTGTGAGTCAGGAGATTTTGTGATAGCGAACCCTGGTGCTCGGTCCCGCATGGCCTGCTGATGTCTTTTGTCTGCCCGATCCCGTTGACCGTGCCAACAACTGTCTGTAGACAGTAGTCACTGGAAGACAGTCACACACACACGCCAGCCCCCCCCCC